AAGTCCAATGACATATTGCCACGTATTGGTAACCAGTCAAATTTACTATGGTTTATCTTTTGTAAAAGTAAGTTAGAAAAAATTACCATTTGTTAGTATGATAACTTATCAAGTAGTATATATAGAGAGGTAGGAAAGAATCTTCTAAGCAAATTTGAAGAGTTCATTATGTAGAGACTTGTTTCATCAATGAAGTAGTGAGGTTTTTCAATATCTTGAAGTGTCAATGTGTGTGTGACTGAAGTGATGAGTGGAGAGATTGTGTGAGAGGGTACTTGGAATATGAGCATGAGAGGGAATCTTAGCCTTCTAGTTACATGATGAGCTACCAAAAAACCATCAGAGTTAAACATAAGTGAGAGTCAGTCCGGAAGTTGTAGGATAGGTCCTAGAGGAGCTGGATTTTGTCAGGTGTTACATTGATGATATCTTGATGTTTATCGACACGGTGATGCAACATCAGATACATTTGCATATTGTGTTTGAGCGGTTAAAGGCTCATGATGTGCAATTTTATCCATAGAAGTGTAGGTTTTTCCCGGAAAACGTTGAGTATTTGAGTCATGTGATCTACCGAAGTGGTTTAGGAGTTCAACAAGCAAAAGTTGATGCTATTGCACACATCTCTTGTCTGATGTATGTGAGTAGAGTTAGTGCATTCATGGATTTAGCAAACTATTATTTGAAGTATGTGAAAGAATCTAGTGCTATAGCCAAGCCTTTGAACCAGTTGTTGAAGTCAGATCATAAGCAATGAGAAGATGAACAAGATATAACTTTTGTTGAGCTCAAAGTCAAGTTGGTGGCAGCTCCAATCTTGAGGGGGTTCATCAAATGTCGTCCATACTAATTGCACACTAATTTGAGTATGTGAGTGATGTTGACGGAGTGTGATGATGAGGGGAAGGAGTTTGTGATTGCGTTTGCTAGTTGTTTGAACAATGCATCTGAATCGCAAGATAGTTTGTACAAGGTAGCAGTGTGACATGAGGCACACTTTAGATGTTACTTATTTGGTACGCAATTTATCCTTGTTATTGATCACCAACCGTTCAAGTGGTTGATGGAGTCCGCTCAAGTGGTTGATGGAGTCCGACAAACTCACATGGAAACTTGCAAAGTGGGCTCTCATTTTATAGGATTACAACTTTTAGGTGGTGCATAGACCTGGGTTGCAAATCTTGATGCCTATAGTTTGAGTCAAAATCCATGCACTAGCTAAAAGTATGACATTGGAGCTAGATGACATGATGAGGTTGATGAGTAGATGATGCATGATTAGCATGCATCTATCTTCTTGTGTTTGTTATGTGAAGACTCTAGTAGGGAGTACCACTTGACATCTTACGCTAGTCAAAGAGTGAATGGCTAATATTCAAATCTTGAGTTTGAAGATGATGGTATGGATCATTGTGATATTCATGATGATGCATTGATATTGCAGTTCCTACGGACCAATATGGTGCTAGACACAGTGAATGTCAACAAGCGAGATCGTGTTCTCCAACGGGCAAAGAGATACTGATTTGAGTGCGCACATGTTCTTCGAGTGTGGGAGTACGGTAGGATACGAGTAGTACCGCATCTAGCTTAGAGAGCGCGCAATGTGCGACATAAGGAGTTAGAACACTTTGGAGTGAAGCGTACATACTCCTTGGTCTGTATTGATGATGTGATATGTATACTAAGATACAACAATTGGTATCACGATGCATGGTTGTGATCGAATGAAGACATTGTTCAATGCCTCAACACCAGAATTACACCTCTCACTTATCATGGAAATGAATTTCCGTTGGAGTTTGGACTTCGTTGAACCATTACTTTTGAATATACGACATCATTTATATCTGTTGATGATGGTGAAGCATTTCTTAAAGTGTATTGGGTTGGTGGCATTAACTGACAAGGCAAGTGACGTAACATCACATGCTTTTCTTGATAGGATACTCAGTCACTTTGATGCATCAGTTGAGTTGTTGACCAATTGTAACCATCTTTAGTTAGTTAGAACCAAAATAGAGGTAATTCTAAATGTTGATATAGATACTTTAGTGTGCACTAGTCATAGCTGTAACGTCAACGATTTGCGTGCTTCGTAGGTAGAGAGTAAGTGTGTTAGTTGACAACGTTATGTCCACGATCCGTGTGCTTGTTATGAAAGGATTGAGTGTGTCAGTTAGTGTGTTAATTATGAGCGCCACGTCAGCAATCTTTGTGCTTGTCAGGGTTATCCGCCACGTCATCCATCTACTAGAAGTGAAATGAATAGTGGACCTAAGATCTTATCTCATTGTACTTGTTGGAGAGAGCTATATATGGGAGAGTAGAACCATTATACCGTATCTCATCTTCAAAATTTATGTTTCTATCTTCGAGTGAAATTCTCTCTAAACCTTAGTGTTACACCAATCAAGGTAAGGAGTTTCAGGTTTTGTGTGAGAAGACAATGATTGATCATCGGATTCACGTCTCGAGATCATCTAGAGTCGGATGGTTTAGCTCAACGTGTTGTACAGACGGTGAAGAGAACATTGCGCAAGTATGGCCTACAGAAGGGGCATCTTGAGTACTAGTATATTTAGTTTTCATGGGAGGCCATGAAATATAGATTGAGTCGTCAAACATCCTTGGCTTTCTTCTCATCATATTTTCTGTTGTACGGCCGAGATCCAGACTTGCCGACAGCAATTCGATGTGAATCTAGTGAGGTGGTGAAAATTGATGATGCCGACATGTGGATGAAAGTGTATTCTCAACGGGCAGAGCTCTTTCAGAGAGTCATGCTTGCTGCACTTGAGAACCTTGCAATTGCTCAACATAAAAATACGTTGCGACATGCAATCACACGGGGAGGAGATTATCGATCATCAATTCGTAGGTTACATGTGTGGCACTACGTCTATATACATCAGATATCGTTGCAATCTGATATATCAGATTGCACCAACAACGTTGGATGTGATGATAGTACGCATTATCTTGCGATTGCGGGAGTTGTTATCTTCTAGAGTTCTTGTGTTGGAGTATCGTGATGGAGTTGTGTGGAAGAATCATGTGCGCAATTGTGCATCATGTCATCTTTCAAACATTGATGGTACAATGGATCCAAACGTAGATGTGATACGGTTTGGTTTAAGATGTATGTTATGTGGTTCGACTGGTAACGCTAGCTGTATGTTATTATCTCACACATGTTTTCGGGGTTGTACACATGTCATGCTTATCTCCATCTATCGATGTTGTTGATGTTGGACGATAGGTTTGTCCTGGATGTACTTAGACCGATATATCACTCAATCTACACATGACATGGATTGCATATAGACTTTATTGACACCGCGTATATTGATTTTTGCACTCACGAAGGTGTATGTCATAACGTAGATATGTAGTGCTATTTGGGAGTTAGTGAGACCTAACCTCCAGCTAGGGGGTGAGTTGTGATATATTTGTATTTGTAAGCTCTTCTTACATATATATGTGTGGATGTGATTATGGCATGTCAGCGATGTAGATTATGTGACAATACATATTTGCATGACAGCTGTCATGTGTCTACGTGTTGTCTATAATTCAAATCAAATTAGTATTAACTCTAGTTGAGTTAAGTCTAGATAGAACTTAGGGTAGGTCATTCTTGTCGGAGAGAATAGTCGCGTCTACTCGATGAATGGTTTGTTCTTCGAGTTGAGACTTTTGCAAAGTGAATAGTCTTCAGTAGGTTGGCTATGGTATCACCATAACTTTGATCTGTAGATTCCGAGGTGTGGATTTGGTTCGATTTGATGTGAATCTTTGTATTTGAAACCAATAGGATTTTCACTAATACTTTCAATTGTAATACATTTGAGTGTGTACAATCTCGTTATTTATACATATGTATGATTATGACATATGAACGACATAGATTGTATGACGAAATATATTTGCACGATAAGAAAATAAAAATTTAAAGAGTGATAGTAGAGAAGTAACATCAAGGAATTGCTCTAATTACCTAGTTGCAATATGTAACAATTACTCCATATAAAACAATTGATGTGATTAAGTCAAATAAATCTTTATGAGTGCAATTATATATATTTCAGACAATTTTGGTTTGAATTTGTTAATTAGCATATAGGTTAGTATGGACTTACGATTTATTTATTTATTAATAATAATTATTTAAAATGTGAAGGTATCACGGCTCTCATTGAATTATAATACTTCGTGTTGACTTCATTCACTTTCTTGGAACGAATATGCAGCTCTTAAAAGAGAAAAAAGGATTAAAATTATTTTTACAATCCTATGTTTTTTAAAAATAAATCAATTACAGGTGAAAAAAACAGATGAAATTTAAAATAAAATTGGTGTGTATCATATAAGTCAAGAATAAAAAATATTTGAAGTCTAGATACATTCATTATAGATATCATTATTAAAAAGAGTCTAGAATAAAGTTTAATTAGATTCAAACATCAAGTCATCTATTTTGGTACAATTGTTTCATTTACTTGATTTCTGATAATTAGAGAAGGATATCTTTTGAATACAAAAGTAGACCAGAAGGCTAATATACTTCAGATATTTACGTGGAGAACTTCTTTCTCCGTAAACTAAGTGTTTAATGCATATACCAGTATCATCCTTGGCATTCATGGGTGGTTATGCAACGTTTCTGCGTATATGTATTTAAACTAATACATATTTTACGTTGTGTTGTAGTAGTCAGCATGTAGTTTCCAATTATATATGTTAATTTGTTGTCTCCTTAGACCCCGTGCAACAGTTTTAATCTCGGAAATGATAATTTCTGAATTCTAGCAACAATTTAAATTTTGGCAAATATGACGGTTTTGGACATCATCTTTTTACATATCAATATTTATTGACTTGATTGTGCACATGAAAACTAGCAAACTCAACAATTTGTTCCATAAGATTCATACATCAAATCCTAATCAGATAGAAATGTAACAAAAGCAGTGAAATTAAGTACATTTCAATCCAAACCAGTCTCAAGTTTAATTTTCCCATGTTGTCTTCATAAGTACCAAATTTTTACAAGTCATTTCATCACTATGGAAGCAAAGGCTTACTCTGTATCTCCACAAATTGCAGCCTTGATGATACATATAAATACACAACGTATAGGCTACAGGAGCAAATAGCATCACAATGAGCTTCCTGCTTTTATTCGATGGGCTCTGTCCTCCAATAGTTTGAGGATACAGGATGCTGCAACAAAACTTGGTTTTCTGGGCATAATCCTATTTTCCAAAGAGCTGGAGCCCATCGTACTGCTGATTGACATCTCATGCGTGACAGGGCTTAAAAGATCCCTCAACTCCTCAGCTCTGAGGAGCTGCTTTTTCCGCACTATCTCGTCGTCAATCAAAGGCCTGCAAAAAATGTGAGGTTGACAACAGTTGAGTATGAAACTTAAAAGTTGGCTAGAACCTGCAGGGCTTTGATTTCTTCACTTTCATAAACGCGAACATGCAAGACCAAAGAGACCAAGCAAAAACTTTGTCTAGGCACCGAACAAAGACATTCTAATCTCGCCGGATTACACCTGCGTAGGGAAAGTGCACAATTTAAAAAAAAAAATGGACGCATTTCTACGGGTCAATTAAACTGACCCGTAAAAATGCTAAGTCTTAATGCGAAGAAAAGAACCTTAGGTAGGAAACAATCTGTCCAGCAGTGCATGCTCCAAAAAGAGCTTCGGGAATAATAGCAGAGTTGAGTAGAATATTTGGTAAGGATATGAACTGTAGTTTGGTTCGTCGTCGAATAAAATACTCAGTTATAGGATGAGCACGATAGGCCGCCACACATGGTACGCTTGCCAGGTGAGTCTGCAGGACTGCTGTTCCTGAAGTACACAATGCTGCATTGCTTGCCTGCTCGACCAGGGTAAAATTCAGAAAGAAAAGACTTTCGTTCGTATACTTTGTTATCACGCTTCACACTTTGGCAAATAATCGTACAGCCTAAAAGACAACCAATCGAGATAAACAAGGTGCTGGCACTGCCACTTTGAATAAACGAATTTGTGAATGCCGCTTCATTGTGAGAGGAGGCAGATGATTTTTGCAGAATCCTACCGTAAGCGCATTGTATTTCTCTGCACAGGAGGCTCCAGGAAGTAGAACGACAGGAACTCTCCACTTTGCCACCAGAGCTTCCACAGCTCTAGTTACGGAACCAGGTTGGGCAGTTGGTATTACAACAGTCAAGTCCGGGTCGGAATTTTGCAAACGTGTCATTGCACTCTCAAAAATAGGTAGCATCCTCTGCACTTCTTGTAATCTGCTTCCGGGCAAGACGCTCAGCAGTGTAGATCCTGCAATAAGCACCGCTCAAAGGGTTCAGAAAGGTGAAGGTGAACTAGGAGTAGTTCAAGACAGGCACGTCAGCTTTCAATCAGATTACCGTACAGATCAACAAAAGGAGCAGAAAGAGAAAGTTTACGCAATATGAAGAAATCCACGCTAATTTCTCTATGTCCACTTACTACCTGAAAAACCTTAACCATAAGTCTTATAAGATGAAATTTCAAAATAGTATGATAGTACCCTTATGTAGTCCATGCTGCTCACGGAAGTTAGCTGCATCGCCTGTTATCGCTTCAGGACCATCGTCATTTTTTGCGCTCTACACCAAAACAAAATTTCTCACAGTAAGCAAACAACGGCAATGCTAAATACATCAAACTTAATCCACGAAATTATGAAAGTTTGAATGACAAAAGATTTTGTACAGGACAATCACACTTGCATTCCATTCGAAAGCAGTAGGAAAAGGATAGCAAACAAACGAGTAGGGATCAATTGAGTGACAACAGATCAGGCAGAGAACAAGTAACATTGAAGCAGTAGCCACAGAGTAGCTAATATATCGACCTGATTCTGCTGCGACGCACTACTGAGTAAAATACGTTATTGCTCGATTTTTCGTTTTAAGATAGCCATTAGGCTACTCTAACGTAACGTGATCTTTCAAGTATGCCTATCTCTTGCAAAAAAGTATAGACAACTCAAACCCTAGGAAGACGCGCTACCGGTTGCCTTTCTGCTTCCTTGAGACATGCTTCAAGATACAAGAGCTTGAGTCGCAGACCGATGCCTTCGCATTTGAGACTGAAAACAGCGAAAGTTCTCAAGACGCATGCGGACAAATTTAAATTGAACGTGGCTCTTCAAATCAGTATCGATGCCACTGAATTATACACAGTAGCTCCACATCTTTTGGCAAAAAAGCCTGTACTGTATAGAACAATCTTTAGCCAAGGCACATGCTCCAGGATAAGCGAAGGACCTGACAGTCTAGTATAAACAACTGCTCAATCTTAAAACAGTTTTTGCATGATACAAATATTAATGTCTTCGGGGCAACTACCCTCTTGAGACAATAATATTTCAGAGAACGATGGTAAATGAGGGAGAAAGGGTACCAGCAGTTTCATACAGCTGTGACATGGAAAGCATCCTCCAAAACTGGATGGCCCACAAACGTCGCTCCTATTCCATTAGCTTGACATGATGCTTCTTCAAACGGCAGGATGCATAGCATGTGGTCTATAATCTTCGACAAATGTCTCAAAGTTTCTTCACCTCCTTTCCAAGCCCAAAAGGAAGGCGCTACGTAGTGAACAGCTAGGGGACGACATTGAGACATTCCTGCATACGCGTCTGTACACAGGGGAGTCTTAGACACAAGTCAACCTAACCTATGCTGACTAAAGCAAGAGCGTTCATCTGCGCACAGAAAAATCAATCCGCATCGCCTAGCAAATATCAAGTTATGGGAGCTCGAGCAAGAAAATACGAACAAAATGAGATTTTCATGTGCATATCCATCTTTCATGTTCATATGTGATGAAGTTTAGCTGCGGCGTTCTGACCTAAAGGTAATCAGAAACATCGGACAACAAATGGCATCAGGCTGTATACAAATTATTGAATGACTGCTGACAACGTTCTCTCACCAGTAATGCCGTGAAGTAAGCGAAATGAAAATCCCTTGGAATCAATGGTGATCACGACATTTGGTTGGAACTTTACAGCGGCTGCAATCGTTTCTCGCAAGCGCATCTGTCACATAGCAAACGGGTTTGCACAGTTAAACTCCAGATGACATTCATAACCACTGCGGCGCAACCACAATACCAGCTGTACAAGGCCTTTGCTTAAAGCCAAACAATAAATATTGTAGAACAACTCACCCAGAGACGAAGAGTATGTGGAATGAGCTCCAATAAACCCATAATTGAGATATCCTCCATTGGAAACTGTGACTTCAATCCCTCCCTCTCCATCAAGGGCCTGCATGTGCATCACCATAGAGAACAGAAAAATTATTGAACGGCGTCAATAAAACAACCACACAGGCTGCGATCAAAAGTTTTGGAAACACAGCCCGATGATGTGCATTACAGCTAGATCTCTAATGAAATAATCAGTGTAATCATGGGACTTCCGGGTCAATAATGTCCAGATCCATCTACCATCAACAGCCTACGAAGAACTATTTCTTCTTCCAAACAACACAAAACGCCAGAGTTTGCAATAAGATTACCCTCCAACACCTGCGAATTCCAGCTGATAAGGTGACAGTTTGCACAGGGAGGCCATGAGCCGGCTTCCAATGGCATCGCCGGAGGCCTCCCCAGCAACAATGAATACTCTACATGTCGACAGATCTCTCGCTGGCCATCTGCTGGGTTGAGCCTTCTCGACCTTGGAGGGAAGAGACGTCCACTCTTTGATACCGTCCCGACATTTCCAAAGGGTTTTGAACACGTATTTTCTTCCAGGAGAGCACCACCATCTCATAGCAGATCACACGGTAGAATGTCCGACGATCTTGTGCACACAAACAATGGCAAGATCAGGCGTTTGATCACTTAAGAGACAATGTGCTCGATCTTGTGCAAAAAAACAATGGCAGAGCAGGAATTTTATTACTCGACAGACAACGTTTTCATCAGCATGTGCTTGAGTCAAAAATCATCGAATCGAATGACTAGAATCAAGCATTTCTGATCAGAAGGAAGCAAATCAAAGATAAAAAAGAATCGGAAACGAAAGACGCGTGAGCGTCGTGTAAATTCTGAAGAAATACTCTCAATGACAATTATCAATGACACAGAGTAGCTTTCAAACTGAATATTTACCGAATCTTTTTCAGGGTTTGACAAATGTTCTTCGTGCCCTGACGCACCAGAACGCTCTCCTTCCCTGTCAGTTTGGCATCTTCTATACAAAGTTACTCCATTCGGTCGCCGTAGTGATATTGGAATCGAATATAACCGAGACAAACTGACACAGCAGAACTTGGTCGTGAATGCACGAGAAGCCTGGAATGAAAATTTTAGATGGTCCGCGCACTTCAATTCAAACACTATCTTGTGATTTCTCTACTTCGTTCGTTACCCTCACAGGCTCAAGATATTAGCCATTCGTTATTCGATCTTTTTGTTCGCTTCATTGTTGTCCGGCATATGCAATTTATGCGGCAGCAACAAAAATCATGAAATGGTATTCTGAGATTCTGATTCTCTAGAGATGGAAAAAGCTCTTGACTAAAGATTACAGAAACTTATGATGATTCACTTTCTTCAATCCAGGGCATCAAGTATTACGGAAAGTAGTAATTATCATTCTGTTGGCGGCATAATCGCGTAGAAACACATTCCACAATGTTACTCACTTTGTAATTATCGGACTGGATGCAATCACCAGTTAGTCAACTCTATTGACAAGATGGATAATAATTTATAGAATTGCGATTTGCTTATATAGAGTTTTTTCTAATGCCAATTATACAATTGTTCAAAGATAATTTGTTATTGGTGATTTGAATACTAAAGCAATATTGGTGAACCGGAAAAATGATGTCCCATAGCTCTGGCTTCAATTGTATTTGTATAATTATAGGATTGAAAAAGGTTTGAAAATTCTATTGATGTGAAAGTGATCATCTAAAGTTCATCAGATTATTTGAATTTGAACTCCGAAAATTCACATAAAGCTCTAGTGATTAAATCATAATGTGTATTGAATAATATATTGAATAAGTTTAAATTTAAACCTATCATCATTTACATAGCAATCTATCTGAATTTATAATTAATATCTATTTTTTTTATAAATTCTATTTTTAATAATATACAATGATCTATATTTTAATTTGATGCTTCAAAAAAAGCTCTGAAGACATTTTTGTCGGTAAAATCACAAGGATGACTAAGTTTAATGTTGAGCAAAAAGATTCCTTAATCGTTTATATATATATATATATACACACATAAATGACTAATTGAATAATTAACTACAATACTGGCTATATGAATTATATGATTTTTTATTAATAAACCTAATTTTCATTAGATTTTGAAAGTCATCGTAATCACATTATGAATTTACAATGTTGTGGGTAAAAAAAATTTCTATTGCATTCATGCAATAGAAAATCCTCATGTACTTAAAATTGGCTTTTCTTTCAAAACTTACCAAAATGATGATTATTGAGTATGTGTTTCATCAAACCATCCGGATGCAGCGGTTTAACTGGACCAAGGAAATAATCGTCATCTGACACTATCTATGTTCCATGGATTGCTCGTTTTGCAGATGGTTTATCTTTCCTGGAACCAATCACCACTTCTCTCGTTTGCTTGAAGGCCTAGAGGTCTCATTCGTCCTTGTCCATGTTACAGAACAAGAACGTCGTTGCGTGCCGTGGATGAATCTGGATGTCAGTCATTTGGATGGAACCCTAAGTGGGACCGGAACTTCTTCTCTTTAGAAGCTACAGAGTACCTCTCTGAAGCGTTCGTTGAACCTTCCGTGGACTATAAGATCACGAGCTTCGTCGAGGGTCACCACAAGGCCTCGGAGGCGGACTTTACCAGCGATGTCGAGAATGTGAAGTGCTAGTGACTACCTTCTCTGTCTGTTAGAGTCGAGTTGCGATGTGGAGACCGTCTTGGTTTGATTTTGTCGGGGTAGCTGTTGTTTCCTGCTTGTGAATGATTTTTCTGTCCATTTGATTCTAGCTGAAACTCAGCGTGGCGAGTCCTTCTTTTCTTTTCTGCGGAATCGCCGAGAGTGGTGACTATTAGCACGGTGGCTGCAATCCAACACCACAGGGTTACAAACACCACGATATCGACTGGGGTGATTAAAGCTCGGTGGTGGTTTTTAACACCATCGTGCTACGCACATCACGACATTCCTCCACTCTGAAGAAGTGATTCGAAACCGTTTACATTTGATATACTTTACTTGACGTGTTTCTTTTTCTGGTGCTGAGGTTCGGCCTTATGGTCCAAAAGCGGGTGCCTGTTTACGCTCATTGTCATGAAGTTGGTTTCTGGCTCATGAATCCTGGCGCCCGCATAGCAGAGCAAGTCGAGGGCTAATAACAGTTTTCTGCCTCATGAATTCTGGCTTCGCTCCTTCGGTACATCTCGTTTCACGGTGTAATTACCGAAATTGAAAACCGAAGTTTCAATAGAATGGATAATGCACACGACCATCATCGTAGTGTCGGATCACCTATGTTGTCTAAATACCGCACCTTAAATTACCCCGACGGTATCTTTTAATGTCATCGGGATATGAGCTTGGTGTGTGATTGACTTCCGTTCTCGATTTCGAGCAGTGTTCATTACGATCAAATGGACAGTGCATGAGGACAGAATACAGTACGTTTACGATAAACATAGTACTGGTGGTGGAATCTTAGGGTACCGGCTCGTAACGAATTGACCTCGCATAAGACTAGTACCGGCCCGTAGCGAATTACGTCGTGTTGTAGTGCACGCTACAGTCGTGAATCCAGGGAGTTCATCAAGCGCGAAAAGATGCGGATCGTCTTTACGGAGACATACTATTAATTATACCGGTCTTGTAGAAAGAGGGGTGTGTTTCGAAACATAGGCTTTGATAATTTCTGGGGTGACCAACCATCCAGCGAAATGGGTTAGGAATTGCAGGATTGACAATTGCAGTAGTTCTCATCCTGAATCTGAAATGTGTTATCGCGGACACCACGAACGGTTAGAAAGTGGAATATGTGCTGTCATGGCAATGAAAGTGAAGAAAAGAAGAGTGAGTAGTGGATGGTAGTAGCGGAAAACGAAAAGAGTGGATAAGTCGGACAGCATGCATCTCAAGACTGCTTACCTGCAGAAGGTCGCTCGTGTCACAGTTTTGCCATCCTGCCAGGAATAAACCATCACAACTATGTGCGGTCGGATGTATCCACCCTAGGCACGTCAATAACCTAATTTAATGTATGTAAGTCGTCTGCCGACGCTGAACTTCGGACATGATCATGTCTCCACAACTTCTAGATCCTATAATCGACCCTGGCACACTGTTCGTTAACGTACCCAAAAATCTGTGGAATTTCGAGATATAATTTCTCACTTCGATCCCAAATACTTCACGGCCAATTGTTGAAACATGGCAGATGCTCCGTCTGCCCGACGAGCACCGTGTGAAAGAACCAAATCCTTTGTGAAATTTGATTCCAAAGGAGATGGAAAGATGCCGCGTCCCGTGAGAGTTGTTCTGGGCCAACTCTAGACGTCAACAGCATCCGCGTGCTGTCCCATAGCTTCCACCATCGGGCATTATGAGGTCAGCTTACGTACGCAAGGCGATGGGTTCCACCAAAGGCCAGGCGCCATTCAGAATTGTGCATACTTTTCGTGAAAGTGACTATCAGAAGGTGAGGACGGAAAACCTATCGGATGCAACTCGTAATTTCGCAACCTTCCAAGAGACCCAAAGATTGTACTTCTACAGAATAGTACCGCAGGACATGCCCTTTCATACCGAAAACAACACTGCAATCATCTCTTTCTCTCGAAGTACTCGCCATGATAAGCATTGGTCTCTTTAGTCATTCGTCGCCCCTTGATCAGTGAGCGAATTGCCGAAACAAGATGAACTCACTGATGGTAAGTGGATTGAATGGTTCCGTTGTGCTGAGTTGGACAATTGCAAACAACAACGAGGTTTAAAAGGTAGGGAGAGAGAGAGGAGATCACAAAAACCTTGTTCTCACCAAATTTGGATGAGTGGTTGTTTATTGAATATAGTAATGTTTCAGTGTCACGAGAATTGCAATGATAGCTCCAATTGTGCATCAGCGGTGGCATCCTCTGACGTGTAGATTCCTATGGAGCTAAGCTAGCAATATCTTAGGCAAATCCTTTCTTTACTCGTCAGACAAAAGTTACTGAGATAAACTAATAACCTTTAAGATGATTCTTCTCTGAGGGAATCGAAGGCAAGGTGATCAGTATATAGAAGTTGATCAGCTGTTCAAGACGTGAAGTGTTAGCAGCGCGTTCATTCCTCAATCCTCTATCGCCTTTTCTCGGAGAATTCAACCATCTGCTTGAAGCCAGTTCAGTTCAGTTCACTTTGTTCACAGTATTCACAGTATTCGTTTCTTGCTCGAGTCGTTATACAGGTGCTGCAGCAGCAGAGTAAGGATGTCAGGGTGCGGTAACAGTGTCTGCTCATGTGGCTCAAACTGCCAGTGCGGCAGCAACTGCAGGTGGTCAATGCATCTCTTGCTTGGAATCAAGCTACGATCCACCTTGTGTAGTCATATACTAGGACGAGAACGTGTTTACAGTGTCAGAAGGATAAACACGAGGAGTGGAAGACCCTTACTCGTCCATCTCTCTGTCTCTGTCTCTTCCTCTGATTCGTTCTCTTCTCTTCTCGTTGAAGGTGGTCTTCTCCTCGATGGCGGTGATCCCGTCAATAAATAAATTGGTCTATCCTTCTTAGCCTCTTGATTAGGCCAGTATATTGTGTCGATGGGATTTGTGCAATGAACAAACCAAAGCTTTGTCAGGATTCCTGTGGTTTTCCTATTATAACGACATTTGCAGTAGATTTTGTGTAGGTACAGTATTCTTCCCAGGTCAGCTGCAGCTGTCAAAAGCTGGAGTCCCTCAGTGGTCCGACCCATCGCAGGAAACATTCCCTAGATCCAGCGTACTTGCATACAGAAAGGATCCTCACAGATATTGCAGGAAGATGCTTATCACTCGAGATGCTTGATCTCAAGACTTCATTCTTCCCGTCGTCACCGACTAGAACTATGAATATCAACTTCCAGAATTCGTGGCTCTAAACAGCCTTGCTGCTGCACATGCCCTCCTTCCCCACGAGTCAATCAACTATGTAGATGTGCCAATTGCAAGCATCCAGAGGGCTGAACGTGGTCGTTGAAGAGACGGCTTGAATATCGAACTTTCATCGCAGTTTGCTTGGGTTCATTGCTATCTAATCTTACACTGGTTGGTCGGGATGTTTGCAGCTGCGGGAAGAGGATGATGGATGTCAAAGACATCCTTAATATGCAGAGGTAAGTTGCTAGTCCTCTTGGATCAGTGGACCTCTTTGAGGCTGGAAGAGCTTAACGCGTTCATGCCTTCACTAATATGAGAAAGTACAGTTTTCATCACTTTCATCCTGAAAAACTAGAAAAGTGAGGAAATCTTATTCTCTGAAGAGCTGAGAACCGTCAATGTTACTAACAATCTGGATCCACATGTTATTCAGCTTTGAGCACGGCAGTGACGGAATCAGCTACAATTCCAGGTGTTTATAGATTCATGCCGCGGTTGAGGAGGCGAAACAACGTACCAGTGCACGAGTTTTGAGCCAGATGATGGAACCTCACTTCAGTACGTAGCCGAGTACCATCAAATTACATCTTTTCACTATCCTCCTATTACATCCCACAGACATGAAACTCTGGTTTCGTCCGGAATATTGAGGCTTGGAATGTTGTAACCATGGTCGGAATAGGATAGGTCACCATAAGTCAAGTATATGTGGACTCCAGTCTCTGATTTGGTCTAGTTCAGCCGGTTTATTGCCTTACGTTGCTATTTCAGAATAAAGACACTTTTTGTAATTACTTCTCTCCAACACTCGTTATTGATATGATTGCGTCACTGTTACCTAGCAATCGGATTTTTTATGCAAACGCTAACACATTTATCGTGAGAAACAAGTGGGGAGGTACGATGCTTGCTTAAAACAACTCTGTTGTTCACCTCCTTTTGAAGCATTCCAAAAAATGAATTGATAATGAGCAACGTAACTGAATGTAGGCATAATAAGCGCTCGGACATACAGGGATTGTGGAAATCCGAAACACGAGACTCGAATTTTCCAGTCATTTCACTCCAAGCCAAGAACTCATCGAGGAAAAAGTTTGACAGTATTGAAATCTTTATTTATATGCATACTATTGCAAGAGAAGTATTGAATCACCTCAAATGACCAAAAGATGCATCTACATTCTAAAACATGCAAAATGCAACCCGCATATGAAGTACATGACAGCTATCTGCAGTTGTAAAGTACCTTTATATGACGTACTGAGTAAAAAGTACCATATGTATCACGAGACTTGATACTAGGTACAAGTCTAGTAATTCACTAATAAACAAAAGGCTGTGGACCTAACTTTTCCCGTTCTCAAGGCGATGCAATTGACATTTCGTAGTTCAAGTGTGTAACATGAGACTTGCCAGATATGAAGATATCAATGGTAACCTTTTGTGAAGTGGGCTTATATACAATTGAGGACATGTATGAATAAGAATTGTTGGCTTATTTCGCATTCTTTGCTCCTTTTTTAGCTTTACAAATTGTGGTTTGATATATACTTCACATATGAATATATGGATTAAAGACACCATCTAGCTTGATATATACTTAATTTCAGAACCTTCTGTCTTACTCAATCTATCATTCCCCTCACTACTAAGGCTTGTATAACTTATTGTTCCATCGAAAATGTAATTTTCTGGATCTTGGTCTTCAGAATGCATTAGATTTGTTCAACTCTGATATGTTACAATTTTAAGCAAAACGAATTATGTGTTTTCTATTGCAAGTTCATAATATGTTGTACTATTTAATATGAAAAATGGTTATATTCATTCCAAAGATGACATTTGTTAAACATCCAAGGCGCTTGAAAGTTATGAGAGAGTGTATTCCAACGACGGCACACCGTCTTGAAGTTTTAAAACGTGTTTTTGTAAACATAGGGAATATAGGATGAACCATGTAGATCCGCAGCAGTCTTTTTTCATCGAGAATCTAGTAGTTGCGTTGAATTGTACAATCATGTTTGCCTTTGCATTTTCTTAGATTGTCCCGTATCTACAACTACAAAGGAATCTCGCTTCCAATGATCTGCGATGAATCACCTTTGCTGCGGCTAATGAAGTGGACACTAGTCTAGTTTGTAATGTCAAGCCCTCTGCGATTGTATCGTGAACATGCAGGTGGAGACCAGCCATTGTAAGGATTTTGCAGTTCAGTTAGAAAAAAGTCTTGGGCTCGGCCTTTCCTAGCTATTGAATGTTGTAAGTGCAGAAAGTGTAGAGACACACAAGTAAACAAATTGCCAAAGAAGATCGTTGCGACAGAGTTTCACTGCATGCATGTTGATACTAGAACATGCGTGACCTGTATTGTCGATGGAGTTCTATTAGATAGAACGAAACTTAAAGCGTTACAAAAAGCAATCTAGTTTTCGATGGAATCTCATCAAGTATATACTTCGTTAAAGCATGTATGCAAATGACAAGTTTTTGAAGTATAATCTTCAATAGTTTTGGATACATGAAGAGTATAAACATGCCTACTGATCTCTTTAGTTTAAAATTAGTGGCTTTGAAACATAGTGTATCAAATAAAATACAAAGATAAATTGATATTGTATTACTACAATATAACAACTAATTGTTCAGTCTACAACATTCAAATCAATGAGTTCTGCCATCCGAGCTTGTAAAATTATCCCATGTAGCTTCATTCTAGCGGGTGATAAATTCGATGGACTTCGTGCTGCTTTCGATCGAACCAAGATACTGGTTTTATAAAGTTGCCTAGATTATACTCAAAGATTAGCTATTGTTCGGAGGTGACCTTGGTGTCTAATAAATTCGGTAGTTTCCGGAGCATGGCAATGTAGGGACTCTGAAACTATAAAACGCTAGACACAAATATGCTCTAGATTTGGGAAAAAGAAAGTAAAGCCTATTAAAAAGATTGGAAGTTTTTTGTTCACAGCAGGCCGAGCGTCAAATGAACAAGAGAGTGACATGCGGAATAGGGTGAGCACTAAGTAGCTGCCCCCTATTTGATGATTCATTAAAATATATGTATCCAATGCTATACACAACCATAGTTTTGGAACTCAAGTAAAGTATACAGCAATTTAGATATTCAAACGTCCAGTTGTAGCAGCACAAATCTCGAGGTGAGAAGCTATTGGAGCCCAGTCCCACGTGACTCATTTGCTTTCATCCGTGTAGGGCTTGATCGATCTTTTCAGCTCTTTTCCACAAATCTCTTACTTGGAGATATGATCAGTCAGCATTACTGGAATCAGTAGGAAGGTGTGACCGATCCGTTGGCCAAGTGCCACGAAGTTTGTTCATCGTGTTGATCGAGATTTAACTTTCACTTTTGGCTTGGACGGACCCAAAGCAAGCACGGGAGACACTATATAGCCCATAAAGAAGATTCCGATCTCGATGGATAGGGAGGATTCGAGGACCTCACGGAAGGACAAGACGTGTCTCCTCGCGCGATGAGACCCTTCAACAACAAAGAGGCTCTTGCATGACATTATAGGACCTTACAAGCCGTTGCCGTCAGCAGGACATTCTGTCTTTCCGAGAGCTTTCGACTGTAACACGAAGTAGCTAGATATTTCAAGCAAGTCAAACTCGTCGGATAATTTTGAGAAATCCAGCTCCTTCACTTTACGACTGAGCTAGTTCTCCACGACAACAACTTGACCCAACGTTGGACTTATCTGAACTAGATGCTGGATACCGTTTCATCCCATGGTGAACATGGAAAAGCACAAACTGAGTCATTTCAGTTCTGAATTCTAAAATATCTGTCTATAGTATCCGTGCGTGAAAACTTTAAAGATGTCTTTTAGTATGTGTATTGTGGATCCGGCGGGTGATCAACGGCCACCACCAATTTCTTACCGGAGAGCTCGAGTTCAAACTGCTTATATTCAAATGGCCTGTACTTACTCCACACTGTCTGAGTAGAGAATAGCAGTCTCCTACCACATGTTCAGATTTACATGATATGTTAGATTCTGCTCCAAACTATAAATAGTTTGCTATAATTGATCTCAACGTTGGAAAATAGAAGAAAATAAAGAAAACTAGATTGGAATTTTGGTGAGTTATTTTTTGGGTGACTAATAGTTTAGTTTCATAATCAGGGTAAAAGTTACCAACCATTGAATTTTGTTGTTTTCGATTTTTATTTTTCAATTTGATATTAAAAGAAAATAACTTGGATAGATGTCCCGCGAACCGCAAAACATTTGTTGGGACATGACACTATTTTCATTTTATGGGATGGGATCCTCGAACGTTCATGCAATCCAACGTCACCCATGTTCCAATACGAAGTTTTGTATTCCGATTACAAGAACAATGTACTCTAAAATGACTCAAGACATTGTTATATCCAAACGGCTGTAACTATCCTGATTCACCAAAAACAATGTTGAAACAAGATTTTTAAGATTAGTCTTTGCGACGAGTCATCATTTTCATGCATTACCAGTCCTTTTGTTATGAATAGTAACAATTGATGGATTTCTTATTGTCAATGTTTGATCTGGAACTCTGCCAAGGAGTTGACTCTTGCACTTGAGTACCAAATTCGTTTATATGTTGATAATCATTCATGGATATAACATCTTCTATAGAGGCATTTTTGAGCATGTAAAGAATCTGGTGCACTTTGGGATCCAAGGCTAAAATTATGAATAGACAATCATCGTTGACGTTGTTGTAATTCAACCCTAAATTATGGGTTACAAGAACTCTATTATATCATGGGTGACTATGGACTGAAGAACTTCCGGTAAACTAGATCGTGTTTAGTCCCAACAACTGTTTTGCATTTTTCATGTATCTCATCAAGTAATTTTTTCACTTTATATGAGATAAATTCAAAACATGAAATATGACATGGCCCATAAAAAAAAGATAATTTTCGATTGCATCCCAGCGATATATAACAAGTCAGAGAACACTTAATGATGTAATAATTTAGATCTCGGCTATAAATAACAAATGAAAGAGTAAAAATCGTAAGGACAAGAATAAAACTGAGTGAGAATTGAGACTACATTCAAGCCGGCGAGTGATAAGTTTAAAGGTGTGATAACATTGCTCGTAATACTCCGGAGTTCTAGATTGATTGTGGAGAAATGCGTCATTGAGAATCAAGATGACTTGTTATAGTAAAAACATCATTTGCAAATACTATATAGATCTCTCTTACTACACTGATTTTCGACATGATGTTCTCATGACGATTCTTTTATGCTATCTAATGCTTTTATCGTTGCATTGAGTGTAAGCTAGCTATAGCAACGGCAAGAGAGTAGCTCAAACCATTCTCATACAGACGTATAGAAAGATCCCTACATCTAGATCATCTACATCATCGTTGGATTCAGTGTTGGCGAGCTATAGCAACTGCAACAGGGTACACAAAGCCGTTGTAATAGAGACATATATAAAGGATTCCTATGGGTTGAATTCACGCAATGATTTTCAAACTGGTTTGTATGATCATGGCACTTCGTTTACATTCTATCAAGTCAGTCTTGAAGTTGAGTATTCACCTAGATCCGCTCTCAAAGGACAGGAAGAAATGGCACAAGAAAGAATATCAACATCAAGATGTTGAGAGTTTGGGCAACCATACCCTTGCAGAATTAGTACATGAAAATTCAAGAATTGGAGTTTTTTTACTGAATTCAAAGGATACATATGCGATCATAAACTGATCTTCTGCGTTTGGACTGTGAGAAAAATGGAAAAAGTTGAAAATACGACGTGACAATAACGTCGTACGCAGAGAGGAATCATGATTGGAGGCATCAGTTGGAGAGTAGTCTTGAGACTTTGTGACGAGGGCTGAGAAGACATTTCAAAGTCTGTACAGAATGATTCAGGTTTTGCTTGAGATGGACTTCTTTTTAGAGAAGACAGTTACCCTAAATTTGAAGGGTATTAATACGAATCAAATCAGACCTGTACAATTTCCTATTACACGGTGATGGAATCAGACACTGCGAGTATGACTATGGGGCATCATGTTTGCCCGGTTCTATACACCTGAATAGTACAGTCGTCGGAAGCTGACGCAAGAGTGGCATCACATCCATGACTACCCCTCCCAATCGAGATACAGTTAAGAGCATCTGTATGATCATGAAATGGGGAATAGTCAAGAAACTCATTTGCCACCTCTAACTCACCAGAAGAACCGGAAGGATCTTGTAAGCCGAAAGGCCAAAAGTGAAGCGCTCCATCCTCACTGCCATCAAAACATAAATTATTTTTTTTACTGGTGCTGTATAAGCGAAACTACATGTACATGTACATATTATTCTCTAATTGAAACCATATATTTTTCATGGTTCGCTAAGTTGGAGCGTCTAACTACAAACAACCAACCATTCAAACATTATTTTGTTTGTTGGCTGGTGCAGTGAGAAGTTGTCAGTTGGTTGCCGATAATTGTCTGGTTCTTACCTCCCGGCAATAACCAATGGTCCAGCGATATCACAGCACTTTAAAGGACTTCCACAATCTTTGCTGGCAAGCTCTGCTCCACTTCGCCTCATCTGCAAGATATGTATTCAAGTCACATAAGTTGCATCACTTCGGTTGAACTGAATTTCACTCAGATAGCTTACAATATTCTAATTTGATGGCAAATGACAGATATCAATGCTCAGGAAGTACAAAAAGTAGTCCGTACTGCACTGTAGGTTTGGGGCTAACCTCCAGTACACGCAGACTGCCATCCGTGGATGCAACGACCACATTACTGCTGTCATCTGTAAGCCTCAAACCTGTTATCGCATTTGTTCCCGCACCATATTGCCAGACTGAAGATGTTGAAGCTCGTAAATCCCAAGCTTTCACTGTACCTGTTTGTATCAACAAAACTAATATTTTAGTTCCTTTCATTTAGCAACAAAATAAACTTTCATCTTAACGATACTATTGAAGCACCAATCCTGTCTTTGGATAAGATGGGAAGAAAGAAGGAAAAGCCGGACGTTTGTTTCCTCTTTCATTCTGAACGGGCGTCGCCAATCCACATATACACCTTCTTCGTGCACTCAAGACACCCAAATTTTGGGAAAAAAGGAAGGAAGGAAGAATGGTAGGCATAATCACCATCTTCAGCGCCTGAAACAGCCAGATGACCATTCTCGGAAACATCTAAAGACCAAACGGCAACTTCGTGCTCAAATATCTCGCACTCTGGAACACGTTCTGCATCAACCAAATGTACGTTCTTTACAAGACAAAAAAACAGGCAAGATCAAACACGGCAATGTCCAAACACACAACGAAAAGTCGAAATGTGCACTACTAGCAACTGCCGGAGTCACGAACCAGTATTCCCGCTGACGCTACTGAAGGAGGCTGCCCATCCACCTCTTCCTTCTTCGATACTCCACACCTTGACAGTTGCGTCCCATGAACCTGTTATCATTCGCAGATTTCCGGTTCCAGCTACTTCCACACACGAGACCGTATCATCGTGCACTCTTATCTGCAATCACAAAAACAATTCGATCAACAAAAGGTATCGCTTCTAAACGCCCACTTAGAACTTCAAAAAGATTTTGTCAGATATGATATATTACTCCATAATCAAAACATCTTAACGTATCTGTCGAGGATAATCCAAAATTGCTGCAATACATCTCTTATCTTACAGCATCACGCAAACACATAAAACACGGCACTGAGGCGAGAGAAAGTAAAAACAGCTGACAATCATCCTCATTACCTAATCGATATTGCATATAAAAAAGATAAACTCCGAGTCTAATTACAAGCTTCACCCAAGTAACAATTATCAGACTGAAGAAAACGACTAAATAATTTCTACCGAAAATTAGATTCTCCTCTAGCAGAGCTGCTAGAGGGGATTATTAAGCCACAAGTCAGTAATATTATTACTCACTAGAGTGCATGGGAATTCGCAAGGCTCTTCATTCTATTTCTGCAATTAAGTGCATGATAGTAACTGCAGCCCAAGAGAATGTTCAGAGAAAGCTATCGGAACTTTGAGAGTGCCAATTTATGTTCACAGGTACAACTTAAGTTTGGAATACAGCACGTACCCATATACATTGATTGACCTTATTGAATTTATCAAGGTAAGCAATGGTTGTAAGCTCTAACTGACTACAATGCAGATATAAAAAGTTACTGCAAGACGCTCGTTGATTACTTACTACAAAGAATTTGTCGCAAATACTTGAACCTGTACGAATGTCTCGCTACATACATCTCTTAACTTCACCCTAGTAAGTGCGCTGGTCAGCAAATGCAAAACATAAGCTTTTTCATTCAAAGATTATATCAACTTCGCTTAACTTAATTACTCTAAATTGAAGTTGAAATTGACTTTTACGAGTACTTTCCCAATACAGAGTAACTGAGTCATATCATCAACATTTACGTGAAGGAGATGATCTCAGCCAGATTTACTGCTCCGAAATTAACATCATACGAGATAATTCGTTTCTTCGCATAGCAATTGTGACTACTTTAAGCAAACTTTTGGCAATATCAGGGTAAACAAGAGATGTATACATATAACCTGTTTCTTGAGAAGTCAATTATTTTATACAAAAAAGGACAAATCTGGTTATACTTCTGAACAAATCAAAAGCGACCCACGCAAATGAAACACCATGGCAGATCGAAGGTATGAGATCAATCAAACTAGAGACACCTAGCAAAATAAGTATTACATCTTTTGTGTAGCTTCCTCTGTTCTCGATGAGTGAAGTTGGATCTCGGTTGATATAATTCTGTGACATTCTTGGTTTCCGACTTCTCTTAGCATTTGTTTAACACAAACTTGGCTGTCTTTAGCCCTTCACTTCCTCATGAGACTCAATGTCTTTCTAGCTTTTCTCTCATAGCTCCTCGACTTCTAAGTAGCTACCCCAAGAGCGCTAAGTAGTTATCAAGGGCAAGTAATAGGCCTTTTGCCATCTGCACTCACTATCCTCCACAGATCAATTTCATTCCTCATTCAGTTTGTAAGTTCGAATCTCGGAAGACTGTAAAACGCTAAGCCCTTCCAGCTACTATCATGTAGGCCATGTTCTCCAGACAGTGTACCACCTTCGACATGATGCTGACATTCAAACTCAGAATAGCTTAAAAATCAGGATAGAGTCACTTCACGGGTCACAACTAACACTCAATACTGCCCATTTGCTTGCTGAATTCGTCAGCCACTCAGAGGGATGAGAAAAAGTAAGGCTCTTCAATCTATAATAGCACAATAGCAGTGCAGAAGGGTGACAGCAATACGTGGTCAGGAAAAAGTTCAAATAACCGTCGTCTGAACTCTTGGCATATACAATATTTGACTGTAAGGTGCCCACATGCAGGTTAGGGCTCAAACGTGGCCAGAGAAACGTTCAGGCAGAACCCACTGTAGTAAGGTGAATAGTACTGGGCAGGGTTCAACTGCTCACTTAGAACCAAAAGAATGCACTCAAGTGCTGTTAGCTATATAAGTGTCTGCAATGAGCACTAATTAATAGTGAACAATGAGTACCTACTCTATGTCTACGAGTACCTACTCTATGTCTACGATCACTTGAGCGTAATATGTACCGAAGATGCCAAACGTGCATTGATAGGACTCGATCAGTATGTGACACTAATGCGGATGATCCGTGCATGGTATTGCATGAGACATTATCTATACAAAACAGAATAGGAGAAACCTCACCTTGCCGAGCGCGCGGCCGTAGTCAACTGAGTAGGCGTATACACAGTCGTCGTAGGAACCAGCTAGAACAGTCTGCCACAACCATGACTGGTGTTTAGACACATGTACACGTACTGGAGTACCAATCAAATCGTCAAAAAGGACAGATAGTCTTAACTTCCCCTCTGGAATTCAGCCTCATCCCTCGAAAATAACAGGACCAAAGAATTTCCTTCGTGATAGATTAACAGGTGTGGCAATATTTAGGTAAATGAATCTCGTACAATGTCCACCATGATTCACTATGTAAAGGTCACCAGAAAGAAACCTTACGGTATGATATCTACGGAATAGTAAGTAGATATGGAAACAACCTACAAGATGAAATATAAAGTTACTCATGAGCCGAAGGAAAGATAAGCATACACTACGCATCGACCGACGTTAGAATTAACGCAGTGGACGTATGTACTATGGACTTACTGGATACGCATCACTGCTTGCTGCTAGAGCAACTGCGGCAAGTGGCAGGTTTCCCAGTTTTGTTGCACGAACTTGGAAACCCTCTGATATAGAGTAAACCTACGGCAACGCATGGAAAAAATGGGTCAAGAAGGCTTTTCGCGATAGACGAGCACAAAAGGCAAAGAAAACTCTTCGTCGAGATGTCTTTGCACACCCTCGGTTTATATGCATGGCTTCACGGTACATGTCCAAGTATATTCAGAGTAAATGAAAAAAGTACCGATGATACTATAAGTACTGATGCATACCTTTATGAAGCCGTCTTTTCCAACAGAGTACATGGTGAGAGATTCAGAAGCATTATCAGCCGAGAGCGTTAGCGCGTTGACAGGTCCACGGTGTAGTTTCAGAGACTGTGGTTCAGACAGTCTCTGTCTAAACATTTGAAACCATGGCAAAACTCCTTTTGTCTTAAAATTCTCTTCAAAGTTTGAGAACCCTTGAACGGGAATCGTAATCCCGACTGTAGTGTCTTCAAGAGACACGTCAGGGCCTTCACTTAATGTTAAGCTTCTAAATGCCTCCGCGTTCTCATCTGCTTTCTGAATCGCAGCTGGAGGGCGTTCTCCGTAAAGAGCACTATCCGCAAATGATTCCTCTCTTTCTGTAAGACTCGCCATTTTGAGCTCATCGACATCCTGTACGTCAGAAGTGCTCTCGTCCGAACCCCATTCAACAGAAGATTTTAACGATAGAGTTCGCGTAAATTCAGCTTTCCCAAACCCAACTGAATCAGGAGAGGTCAAAACAGATAGTTCAGACACTTGAGAAGGGGTACCAGGTATGCTATCCCTGGAGCAAAACTCCATGTCTTCAATGGGATCAACATTTGGCGAAGAAGCCAGTGCCATTATCCGAGACAAGAAGTTGGGGCTGAGACCTCCAGAATTTTCATCGGATCCATGAGGGTTGTTGGCCAGCGAGATTGTCAAGTTTCTTCGTTTCGACCTCTGAAAGCGTGCAGGGTGGAAGGAAGTAAAAAGCTGTCTTGGCGCTTGTCCAAATTCGTTAATCTGAACAATAACCAACGAAGATGAATTCCAACCTTAAACAAACTTCATCCGTGAGAAAATTGCAAACGCAGCTATAGTAAAGGTCTCGAAACAATTGGTAGAAATAAGACTTAGCGCGCATGAATACTCGTACATATCCATAAGAAAAGTCTTCACTTACACAGCAAGATGTGACGATGAAACAGTCTCTTGTCAATGAAACATGACTTTGATTTGATCACCTTTATTTTCCAAACCATACATGTAAACCATACAGAGCAAAAGTTTCTATTCGCTAAAAAAGCTGAACAATTTTTAAGTTATTGGCCGAGTTCGGCAAAACATCAACATGGACAGGACTACAGTCCGTTAAGACCGTATGGTGCACAATGGACTCAGCTGCTAAAGGGTAGTTTACTTCCACTATTTTACCCGTAAGTCTTATTATACTAACTGCGGACATGCTTCGCGGCGGTAGCCTCCACACTTAAACTGGAGAAGATAAAACTTTTTTCCATTACGTTCCTGTTGGTTCTTCTTTTCGCTCTCCAAAAATTAACTGGAGCATTGATTTGAAAGTTTAGGTGACTGTAAGAAGTGTTAGTCTTGTTTCGGAAGTTGCTGAACCCATCTTCGGTTTGTCTCCGTTCATCAAGGACCGCGATACGTTACATAGGTTTGCGAGGCTGCAGCAGGCAACTCGGTTTGTGTGTAGAATTTTGACTGTTTGAATTCCAAAAACTCGGATGTAACTAACCAGGGCAAAGAGCTTATACCTGCGCTTCGATACCAGCACGTTGTGTTGGGTCGTCAATTTTTTCCAGGTCTACAGCTCCTTCGTACGTAAGGTGATGGAAAAGATTGTCCGCTGCTAGGGCTGCCTGACAACAAACAGTTTCTTTGTCTATTTAATATGATCCTATCTTCATAATAATATTTGAAATAAACACCATACTGAATTTTAGAAGAAAAACTTTCCGATATTGGTATACCATACAGATGCTTACCTCCCCACGTTGCTTGTAACCAAAAATTAGATCAATCCATTGATGAACGTGCATAGAAACGTGCTCAGATTCCAAAGCCTGTCGATGCTTCTCAATAAAATCGTCCGGTGATTTAGCCCTACATACCATCATTTAAAGTTTCGATATCAACATACTGCGGTGATGATTATTTCCAATAAGAACGGATAACGGGATGCACTAAGCGATTGTCTGTTTGCCGAGTTGTGAAATTTGGATAGACAAGACCATACCATGGAGGTAACACCACATCACCCACAGCTGTTCCGTTTTGTCGTACGCCAAGATTTAAATCATTTCTGTAACATCATCATCAAGAACAAGGCAAAACCAACAGTTTGATAGCTTGTGCTCTAGGTGAAAGCTTGAAGAAAGGAAGTTGAAACGCCATAAGAAACGAGAACTCATCAACATGTAGAGCATATTAACTTTGACCTGGATAGATCTCAGTTGGACGGCTGCTCCAAACCTGGACAGGCTAAGTGCGTCATTAAGCAACAAATAAGGCAATAGGTCTCTAGTTAACCTAATGAACATGAGTTATACAAATACAAGACATCTTACCTGATAGTAAGGAACTCGGAAGGAGGAGAATAAAATTCAGGAATCAGCTCCTTCAGATCAGCGTGATTGCTAAGTACGCTGTCCCAGGACTCCGACATACTCACAAAGAGTCTATCTGGCGCATCAAAACGTCCGTTCTGGAATGTAGAAAGTAGCTTAGATAAGTCACCAAAAAGCAAGCGGATACGCTTGTATGTCCAAATGTAGCGTCCACTGTGACCTCTTTTCTTAGCATCGAGGTTTGAATTATATGAAGTTCGTGAACAGTACAAAGGAAGCTAATAAGAAACCTTTCAGGCTAACATAAGAATAACAAGAAGTACACAGAGATTCTTTCCATGACGATCCGGCCTGAAAAGAGTTGCTCAGCGAAACCGACCAGTTGGATGACATAGTCGCTTACTTCAAAGCGGACTAATCTACAATTTTCTTGTGCCGTGATAACTACAATCTTTGGCGCGGAGATGCGCCTCAAGTTCCAGCTAAAACTCACAGTTCGAGGGCTTTTGTGAACATAACGCTTGTACGCGAGTATTGAATCTCCCAGTTACAACGTGAGAGTTCATCTTCTATATCAAACCATGGACCCTCTTGACCTTGAGGACTGACACACCCTAAAGTGATGGGTTTATACGGACTCGTCTACTCTCACGTGAGACTCTACTTTCTTTCACTCAATGTAAAGCCTGAAGTCATTTTCATATAACCTGAACTCATAACTTGGGTAAAGAACAACACGACCCAGGTATATAAAACCAGGGGTACAGTTGTCTGAGACTTCATGACCGACGAACGGAGATCTTGCCAATCTGATGGAATTCCTACCTGAAGTCGAAGCATATGTGCTGGAGCAGATCGAACAACCCAGTAAAGAACATACCTGTATCACAATGATTGAAATATATCATCTCAAGTTAAAACTGCAGATATTTGCAAGATCCAGCAGGAAGGGTCAATGGAATTGCACACTTACCCTGGAGTAGAGTAGTGCGTTCCATACAGGAAGGGAGGTGACGAGGGGTCTCCTTGAGGCATCTGCACAAAATTGAAACGCTAAATACGACAATAGTATGACTGTACCAACCTTTATTCTGCTATTGCATCAATCTGATCATAACTCACATCACCCAATATGCGCATGATCCCGACAATAGAACAAACCTGTAAGTAACGTTGCTGAAAGAGGGCAAGCCGAGAGGGGTTGAGAGCTCCAATAGGCTGCAGGGATGGCCAAATGGCAGAGCAATTATGAGTCATGCAAAGTTCATCATGCATAGTACCAGTACCTAGCATCTCAGCAAACCGGTCACCAACAGAAGATATGTACGATCTTCTCCAGTAAGTCAGTATTTCGACCTATTGAACAACAGAAGAAGACAGCCAACGTGGTCTCTTTTCATGACCTCAACGTCAAGCAGCAGAACACGATATGATATGAAGAAGCGGAGTGCAGAGTGTCTCGAAGTATCAATACTCTTGTGAAATAAAGCTACCTGTGCGGCAAACATAAAGCACGAGCATAATAATCTCTGAGCAGAATAGCTGCAGAGCAAATATAAACGCCAAAACTCGCACGATTAGAGTTGAGTGGCTACAACCGTCAGAGATAGCACTGTGGACTTCTCGTTGAGAAAGTACACACCTTCGACAAGTCACGAAATACTGAAGGATCTGAGAGGTCAAGGATCTTGCTCTTGTAATCAGAAAGAACCCACGGCATCACGGGCCACTGTGTCAAATCACAAAAACTACGCCCGGCCGCTAGATTGAGATAAACAAGATAGTCATAATTCGAGACCAGCCTTGCCTGCAGTACAAGTACATTCTCGTAAGAAAATACTTCACACATGACAACAGAATTGAAGTATTGTCAACGTGATGAAATTTCAGCGAAATATCCGGACACTCAGCAATACATATGAAGTGCACAGACTCGCAAATCTCTACGTCATTCGTTTGAAAATGAATCGAAAGAAAGAGAACCTGCCAAGCAGCAGTAAGGCGTTGAAGCCAGCAGCCGTCAGCCTCCAGTAACGATCCAGCTTCGGCAGCTGCGCCCTTATGTCCCTGCTTGTGTATTCCCAAACGAAGGCTCCTGGTCAGCACCCATCGCCCATGATGAGAATTCGCAGGCATACATTTTTCTAACAAGCTTTCGCTCTCATTGCCTCTCAATGTTAAAGTAGAATGTATCCGGTGCGACGAGTTGCTAGTAGGCCGTCAAGCGTACAACAGACGAAGTTAAAAACCGCACACCATCTTTCGCGACTGAGCGAGCCATATTCTTGGTGTGTACCTACGTCCTTCTGAAGCTTATAGTGGTTAACTTAAGAGCAAAGTGTACAGGAGAGATCACGCTTACCCCCAACTGTTCGAGCAACGTTGACACGGCTGCGTCACGCTTTTGTACACTTTGAAAGGTATAGAACACACTTGCCCCGCCGGTGAAGGTGCCACTAGATATGTTTCTAACAACCTGCCCCTCATCTTTGAAGAACACTTCCATGCCTATATGGCGTAAGGCATGTCGCCGCCTTGCAACAGCAACAATCGAGCTGAAAGGGTGCGAACGGACGGGGTTATCATTGTTCAAGTTGTGTAGAGGCTACATCACCGCCAAGAACGACATAAAACTTCTAGTTAGACATCAAGGAAGCTCTCTATACACAACGTTCATCGCTAGCGTGAAAACTAAACCAATCAATGTGCTTTGATCGAATATAAAATTGAAATTCTTTTAAGGCACGATAAGATCCACATCTCAATGACAGAGACAGGAGCGCTGTAACCCGATCTGATCTGAATTGAAACGTAAAAATTTGACTATAACATGCTGAGCTTGAACTTCATGTGTTACATTTGTCCTTTTGAATTGATCCAAAATCTAATACTTCAAGTCGACAGCGTTTCATAAATATCCTATATCGATACATCATGTGCTGCTGTTGTAAATTTCCAATGTGATAGACGCTCTACGTACACACCTGGTCGAGAAATGAGATCTGGGCTTGACCTCTGAAGAGCAAAAGCTGTATCTTTGAGATGCATACCTGAAAGTATAGTCGCGCTTGAGTTAGCACAACTCGTCCCGGTTCTCGAACAAGAGGCGTTACCTGCAATGTCAAACCCGTACGCATTCAGTTTTCGGCAAAACCAAAGGCTGCGACAGGACGAATATTGATCTTCTACATCCAAGGAAGTAAATTCAATAGTGCTGAGCTCCAGGTCAACTCGTTATTTACAAAAGTTCTCGATAACCTGCACTGGTGTGACAAGTCTACTCACCTGTGCAGCGGTGTAATCAAGAATAATACGTTCACTGAGATCCACTAATCTGCTTATGTCAAATTGTGCTTGGGCTTCTCTTTGAGCCGCTGCATTTTGTAACACCATGTTCCTCTCCGCATATGGTAGGGCATTAATGGAAAGGAGTGACTGCACCTGTTGCAATAACTGAGAATATCTCCACCCCATTAGCCCTAAGATACCCATAACAGTAGAGTAAGCGTGGTGTATACATATATTTATAATACAGACCGAACATGAATACTGGATACGTGCAGCATAGACTGAATACATTTGAAAGGTGCGCCAATATAGAAAAGAACTAGGACGTAGAAAATATATACGTGTAATTCAAACGTGTAAATGCGCTAGAAAATATGGCCAGTACACTGCTAGCATAATGCCTGAAGGAAAGTGGGCTCGCACGGAACAGCAGACTATTAAACTAACGCTTTGAACCTGAAGCCTATCTATTAAAATTCTCTCCAGCTAATCAAGTACCAGACTTCGAAGTTCGAATCGACATGGTAGGGCATCCAGTGTCCAAATCGCAAAAGAAACTACAATTGACAGGATCACTAGGATGTGAAACAAATAACTGACGAGGGAGCTTAGGTTCTTACTGGTTGTACAGTAGAATACTCGAGAGTGAACCACCATATGCTGACTCTCTTTTGAAATATATACGGAGCATCTAAGCCATTCTCCTTCATCTCCACAGACATAGAAGTTTCCATAGCAAATCCTTCTTGACGCTTGTTCCATTTGCCCACCGATAAAGGAGACGAAGGCGGATCAGCAAACTGCTCTATCTTCTTTACATCGGTAAATCGAAACATCAATATTGGGGCTTTGCCATAATCTGGCTCAAAAAACAAACATTTGGCACAAAGGCGTAGTCGTCCCCTTAAACTTCGTTGTTGCCAAGCTTGTGCTTGTAGTCTCTGCGAACCCCCTGCTGAGCCCTGTCTACATGTTGCTATCCAGTCTTGAATATAATGATCTCCTTCTTCCATTAACAAGTACGAGAAGCGCCTCAAATGCTTCCCAACATCGCTTGGCCACATTTTCAGTTGCTTCCACTGAATCTTTCCACCATCAAAGTTTTAAATTGAGTCCTTCAGCTCTTCAGAAACTCAACCACAGAGCTCCGGTAATTGGTTTGATATCTGAACTTGCACACAAATCTTTTAATGAAGTACGGGAAGCAACGAGATGTTTGGTCTGCATTCATCAAACATGTCACAAACTCCAGTATTAGCTTTCCACTATGATACAATCGGGGACCACCTCAGAGGAGTTCTGATTTTATTATCCTCCTAAAATTAGTAGACACAGAGAAAAAACAGAGAGTGGCTTCAGATGACCCAAAACTTGCTACACACATTACGAGCGGGTAGAATGGTTTTGATTGACTTATTCGTGCGAAAGAATTCTCTCCAAGGTGTCTCACCGAGATGGAAACATGAAAATCCCAAAACCTTGGTCCAAAGTCAAGAGTTCCACGTCCCCGGTTCTTCTCTGACTAGACGGAGCAGCGCATTCCTAGACCAGCATAGAGGAAGGCAAACCACTCATAATCCACGAATATCCCGGTGCGCTTATCATCTCGGCAACACACACCGCTGCTCCCTCACGCTTTCCACCGGAAAATTCACTAATTCCAGCACGGCAACTCCCCGTCTCTGTATAGCACTCGCATCTGATTTCCATAGCAACGCCAATTACCACTCTCTACATTCAACGTCCCCTGTCGTCCCCCGAGGAAACCAAGAATCCATCTCCCATTTCGACGTTGGCCTCGTCACAATCCGACTGGCCCTCAGTTCCCTTCACGGGAGGTGTCGGTGCAAAGCGAGAGGAGACGAGAAGAGCTCTGCAGGGGCCGTGGGGCCCACAGAGGCTGTGCGGGCCCGGAGTGGGCGTGACCATGACGGGAGCGTAGCGGGACGGCTACCACTGCCTCTACGACTGACGGAGAGCCTACTTCCAAGAAATCGACGTCCAAGTTATTCTGTCACTTCGCATTCTGTCCTACATTCGTTCATTCCAGGCCCCAGAACCCTAAACCCTGGGAATCCAGTTTGGACTGTCTCTCGAGGATCAACGAAGTGCCCGTACTCGTTTCTTCAATCGGGGATCGCGAGGAGGACTGGGGAGCGTGTAGTTCCGTGTTGGTTAAGTGCCCTGCGTCTTGCGGATTTGAATTTTTTTGGAGGATATAATTGATTAGAAGCGCAAGGCAGTTCTGGTAGTCGTGAAGGTGTACATCTTGTTTGTGCTGCCGCTGCGAAAATGGGGAATGCGAAGACGAAGAAAACTCGGAAGTTTGCGCAAGTGAAACGTATGCTTACGCCGAAGGCTGTCCAAACGTACGCCGTCTGAACCTCTCTGTGTGTATCTGTGGTTGGTTTGGAATTAGCTATCGAGTTCTGTGTATTTAGTTTTTAATGCTGAAAGACGGTGTCTTTCACGTCTTAAATCATTTACTTCTCCGGGAGTTTAATAAGTTGGTCCTCCAGTAAAGTCGAAGCGATTCCTATGTCGACCTGTCCTTGTACGTCAGGCCAATATTCAAAACCTCCCAAATCATGAATAATATCTCATCAACATTTTGACGCTGAAATCCAGTTGAGAAGCCATCTGTGCGACATTTCGAGCTATTTTCGTTGCGTGACCAGTCCAAGGGTCATGGTTCGCTATTCCAAGGTCGCTAGGCTTTGAAACGATGTTCATAGATTTGGGATCTTCACGAGATAGTTTGCAACAAGAGCACTCAGTGTCCGTTCTATCCTTCTGTTCATTCGGCTTCAAGGTCACCTGCCTTCTGGATCTTTGTGGAATTCGTATATCGTGCCATAGAAATCGAAATCCATTGCTACTCTTCTACACCTTCCCTTCAGCGGCATTGTTTGAACAACGTGATACGACCAATGCCGGTCGATGTGCGTTTCTGTCCTCAGTTGTGCACACTGGATATCATAACCTACCACTCCAGACCACTAACCATATGGTCTCTGCAGATGCTACTTTATTTCATTTCTCGCTCATCATTGAGTGCACGTGTTAATTTTGTCGTTTCTGTTTAAATCTGCGCCGAGTCTGTATTACCAAATTATTTCTCAAAACTCTCCCAAATTTTCTGCTTCTTGTCAATTCAAATGGTCGCGGTCTTTGGGAGAACTGCCTCAGGGTAACGTTTGAATCAGCCTGAATATGATTTTTGTTACAAATAAGAACTTGTGCGTTAACCTGGAACTAAATATATATTCAGGCTAGTTATCGAATGTAAACCCCATGGACAGTCGACAGCTCCTAGATTCCTCCTCGCTTTATCTGAAGTCATAGGAGCAGTGTGGAAAACTTCTGTATGGACATGGTAGACACTTTATAAGCTCCTTTTATAACATCGACTCTAATGTCCACGTTTTCACTGTGAAGTGGATGCTGCAGAACATAATACAGTCACAGTCCAACTGTAGTCCACTTTCGACGGCGATATCTTATTTGGCCTGCGATTATTGGTTTGTGTCTGCAGGTATAAAGCAGAAATAATAAACCCCAATAAGAAGGAAGACAAGAGCAAGCTTCCGAGAAATGTGTGAGTTTAATCAACACCTTTTGAGCGGACCTCGTGTTACAGCTTAGTTTACCACGAAGACCTTCTCACAGTTACATTATCATAAACCATTACAAGTGAGGCTTAGAAGGAAACTAGATGAGATCTACGTATCATGGGTTTGAAGCAAATACCATTCAATCAATGTAGGGTAGAACTTGCTTTATCTTGAACAACGATTGTAGTAAGTTAAACAAACCCCGGTTGAGATGTTTTGAATTGTCTCTATAGTCATTGCGGGTTGTTTCAAGGCTAGATTTGAAGGATACATGCCTCATACCAAAGCTCCTTGGCTGCAGACCGAATGTTTCTTCTGCTCTTTTTTTCAAGTACAATACCGCATTAGGGCCTCCTTACCAAGTGCTTATCGACACCAACTTCATCAACTTTTCTATACAGAATAAGGCAAGTGCATGTCCGTTATAATTTGGCGACAGCTTCGAAAGGGATCAGGCTCTGGCGAGCAGATATTGTTTTTCAGAAAGTCAGACCGTTGTGAATACCAACGTTGTTGAGTGTTAGTGAGAGCTTCGTCATGGACTAAGTAGTACGATACATGGAGCTCATGCTCTATGCTGGACTGTGCAAAATTTAGAGTTCTTTCAAGTATGGAATTGTTGTCTTACGTTCTGCCCAGGTTGCTCATGTTAAGGCTCAACATTCACTCTTTCAGATTGCATATTGTACTTAAAGTTCTTGCTCGTTTCTCGAAGTTCTGGTATTGATCTTTCCTGATAGATACTTAGCGGCCAACTGTTTGTCTACTGCAGCTAGATCTGGAAAAATCAATGATGGACTGTCTCTACGCTAAATGTAAGTTTTATTAAGGGCGATATCTTCGTGTCAAGAAATGCTTTTAGTTCCTAGGCTTGTAATTCATTGACAGTTCTTCCTCCACGTCCCGCAAACCACACGTTATTGTGAGAATGAATTAGTGGGGTCTTTAAATTTGATGTTTTGATGTCTATTATGTTTATACCTTCGTTTATTGTGCTTGACCCGTGTATACTGATGGTGCCCAGGTACTCCATGTATCACTGACTGTGTCATGGCAGAGCTTGAAAAGCTTGGTGAGAAGTATCGAGTTGCGCTGAAGTATGTACTCTATCCATCCTATGCGTCGAGTTTGTCTGATGTCAATATGGACTCGTTGAAAGTCAAGGCAGCAAGAAAGGGATCAACATGTGCCTACTCCTACCGATTGAGTATCGGATCCCTATCCTGCCTATTGGTCAGGAGAGTCTTATAGGGCCTCAAATATCTATTTGTTTGGTCCAAATAATCCTTTTACTCACAGGGAGGGTTGGATATCATTTAGTTCCGGTTACGGGTTGGAACATATTCTTCCAGATCGGGGAACAAATGTAGAGGACATATTCGATGACAGTGTACGCGCAGTGATGGATGCGCACCGGTCTTCTCTAGCATGTAATACGCTTCCAAGGTTGGAGTTACAAGTGTCAAAGCTTGCAGAGTTTAATGGTTGAGAATTGTTGACAGGATTGCGAAGGACCCAAAATTTGATAGGCTACCATGTACACATAAAGGCACATATGCTGATGACTGTCTTGTACAACGTGTCACTCAGGTAAGTTGGCAGCCTTGAACACCTGATCTGCAGCGCGATCAGGTGTTCTGATTCGGAGAGTCAGTTTCTTTAGATCTTAGGCTTCATATATTCGTGAGGTTCTTGGTTTTTTCCTGGGTTGACAGGATTTCAGGTTGAAATAATTATTCATATCTCATTAAAGAGAATTGTGATAAAACTAGGATGGAAAATTGGAGACAACAAGCCTAGAATTTGCTCAAGTGCGCCATCCTCTTAGTTCACAGGTCGATAGACATTTGTATATGGATGAATGAAGATGATCTAATGTGATCAGTCAACTGAAGTACTTGATGCATGACTCTCATCGCAGCACAAATGCTACATTGTTGCAACGTGTGATAGAGATTTAAAACGGCGCATACGCAAGGTTTGTTTACTGGTTCCTCCCACAAGCTCTGTATATATTGGGTTCGTCAGTAAGTAGATGCTTGCTGTAAATACGATCTGAATCAAAAAAGCAAGTAGCGGTGGCGCACATCATTTCCTGGGTATGGGAAAGTACCTTGACAGACTCTGTTTCACGGTGATGTGGCAGATTATCATTTTTTGCATAAGCGGGTTTTCTCGAACCAGCCTTTGTATGATTTGAACTCTTTACCCATAAGCTGATGCCTTGAGGTCGTTCTTGACAGATTCCTGGTGTTCCCATCATGTACATTACTCAACACAAATACTCGATAGAAAGATTACCTGAGGCCACGCTGGGTGGTGGTAAGATTTCTCCTTCTTTTTCGTTCTTAAATTTCTTTCTCTTGTCTATTTCAGTAGTATGCAGGGCGGATATTGAGTTTGCACCACAGCACGAGGTTTCGGAGGGGCTCTGGCATCGATTAAGTCGACTTGCCAAAAACATGCCTGTCATTGCTGACGAAATCGTCCTTTTCCTTTTGCTTTGAATGTAGCGCCAAGGATGTGATGAGAGGTACAACCGTCTGCCTTCGAGTTACAAGACCTCAATGTTTTCCCCAAGGCTGAGGTGGGGCGGCGAGAGACCGAAGTAAATCACTGGCCGAATTGTTCGATTCTTAGGAGTTCGTCTATCCGAGCAAAGCTGGATGGAGTAGTCTGTCAAGTAGACCCTATCGAGTTCTAACCAGGTCATAGAAAACTCAGTGTGACTTGAAATGCATGCTAGAAGTGAATGATATCGACAATGTTCATATATATATTACAGAAGTTGGTGAGCTTCAGTGTTAGTCCTAGGCTGTATATTACGGACACTATCTTTGGCAGTCCATAGGAGCCAACGCTGTCGTCTTAGTTACGCACCATCCATTTTTGGTCAATTCCGTCACAAGAAGCAATAAAATATCCTTGAATTCGCAATTTTTTCTGCCAAAATATCTCCAGCTGACAGGACAGCAGTACGCTCTTTCGATGTCCGGCTATCGAGTGTCTCACCTAACAGGAGTCTGTATGGGTTCTACAAAAACAATTCTGGAGCGATCAAGTTATTCGTGTCTTTTGGGGTTCTTTAGTCCTGGAAGACGATTTAGTCGAGTATGAGATCGAATTGCCTACCGACTTGAGTTTATCTTGCTGGTCAGGTGCGGATGTGCAGGTGGACGGCAAGAGCACGAAGTGTCGTGTTGAACTCACCGGCATAAGGTACCTTGCTTTACGGACGGCCTCCTTGCCGAACTGTCTTCTGACTTGGGTACGCAAGGCTCATAAAGTCTTTACTGCTAAGACAGCTTTCTGTCTCTTTCACTTTCAGCCTCCGTATTCGACATGATGTACCCAACGTAGCAACGGAAGTCTTTGTAACACGGACAATCTCTTCTTGTCATGTGCCTGAGCAGACGCACTCGAGTAGCTGCTTCGGGAGCTACGGGGAATGAGCGATGCTTACCTCAGCCCTAGGGGCTTGCCCCTAGTTGTGTGCATCTCTTTTGTCTCTGTGACCCTGATTGGGGTCCGGCCTTAATGTTCCTACCTCTGCTTCACCTGTGATAGTTCTGGCCCGGCTAGCTATACGCTCTAGACAAGTTGGGCAGCAGTTTTCGTAAATCTCACTGACTGGCGCCTAAAGTCTATTTTGTTTCAATCCATAGTTTTTTTGAGTGCAGCTGGAGAAGTTCAAGAACAGTTGGAATCATGCCTCGGCTTCACATGGCGATGGTTGTTTCTGTGCGTCTTGCCCAAAGCTTTTTTCGAATTCACACATTCACCGAGTCGCGCTTTCACTTTCCGACCAAGACCTTCATGTGTCACGTCGTCTACAGGCAGGCAGGAAAGGGAGTACAAACAGGAATCACCGCCCACCCTTTGGGCCAGTCCAGGAGCAAGCGAAGCAAAAGGGAGAAAGGCCAAGAACGCAAACAATCTTCTTTATCCACAAAAGCAAGGACTCGAAGTGCCGCGCTTCTTGTTTCTCCTCTTTTATCCACAACGAGCCCCACGGCGACCGTTCGCTGTGTGCTTGACACTTTTCCCTTGGAGGCCATGGCAGTCTGGATTGATACCTTGCCTCGCATTCCTTATCATGTCAATGCAATGCGGGATGCGGAAGGGAGACATTTCTTCTCCCAACGACCGAAAGCTGAAGTAGCCGGGTTGGCTGCTCTGCCCCGGTCTGCTCTGGTGCTTAGTTGACCGTGTCAGAGTTATCTGATTTATCTAGAGGTGGCCTGGCCAGCTAATAGCAGCTGCTGTCCATAAAGTGCAGGCAAGCGGTGTTGCTTTGCCCGCACCTGCGTCCAGATTCTGGTATATGGGTCCACTCCACGTCCTTTCTTTATAGGCTGATCAGAGTTCATTAAGGCGAATGGGTCCACACGAGCAAGGCTCGGCCAAAAGCTTTTCTCTGTGTATGACGCCTGAAGCGGTAGAGAGGCGAGCGAGCGGGACGAACATTCATTCATTCAAGGATCTGGCGGGATATGATGCAGGCGAGAATTGATCCAGCTCATGATACCCGCAATATGCCAATCACCTGGGCCTACAAGATTAAACGCGACCGCGACGCCCCTCGCCTCCGCCTCGGATCCCCTCTCCCCTCCTCGCTTTTCCGCTTTCCAGCCCCGGCCCTGGAACTCATCGCATCTGCTCCCCACCCTCCCGTTGAATGTGGACTGGAGTCGCCTTCACGCTTCCTTGACCTCCAGCGGGACGGAGTGGGAAAGAACCTACACCGGCGCGGCGGGCGGGGGGGGGGGGGGGGGGGGGGGGGGCGCGGGAGCGCCTCTTCTTTTTCTTCTTCTTCGTCGTCCAGCGCTGCCCCGCTACGGGAGCGGCTGGCTAGGCGTAGCGGTCCTATGCGTAGAGCGGTCGTAGACGCAGCGGGAGTACGCAGACAATTCGAGCATGCAGGCGTCCTTGCGGGGAGGCGAATCTCGACTCGATAACGGACGATATTTTAGTGAGGGAGCTACGACGTACAAACTCACCACAGTGGCTGTACGTCCGGGAAAGGGACAAAGGCGCTGTCTGCCAAGGCCTGCGGGAGTTTCTAGGGCTTCGGGTATGAGAGAGAAAGAGAGAAATATCGCCAAGAAATCAAAAGAAACAAAGGTCTTTGTTATCGCGGCCAGCAGCACCACCAACCGGCGGCAGTGTGTCGCACGAAGCACATGCTTTGGCACTCGCCCGTCCCCACCCCCATGACCCATGCCGCTCAGCTCTTCGCCCTGCTCTGCACTGCCTACTTATCAAGCTCGTGTACTGTCAGACCACTTACTCCCCTCGTGGCAGACTGCAGCCATCAAGTCAAAGACGAGCGAGGCCTCCCACTTTCGGGCCTCTCCGCCTATGGCGTGTCGGGACAAAGCCCATTGGGCCTAAATTTTGGCCCCTTGGCTTACGAAGGTTAGGGAACATTCTGCGGATCCGTTCGAGGAAGAGCCTTTTAGGTGACCTGATTATTTCCTCGACCGAATAAAGTGCTCGGTCTCAGCTGGAGTGAGTTCTCGCGGAGAAATAATGCACCGCGGGTGACAATGCCATTTCCTTGCTTTCCTCTCGCGCTCGCCTCTGCTTGATCCCTTCTCCCCTGATGGTGATTTCTGCGCCTTCTGCCTGCCGCTGCCTTCGGACCTCGGCCGAGTGGCACCAGTGTTGTACTTGATGTATGCCCCTTGGCCCATTACACATACTGTCTCCTGTACATGAATTATACAGCCGGGAACAGTGTGGGACGATTGCAGTCGCTAGAGCGGCCTGGAGGATCTCTGAATTATGCGAGCTTTTCCAGCAGGTTGTCCGTCGACCTCGAGGCTTCTTATTAGACATCACATGGCTCACTTGCACCACGATCATGAATATGCCATCTGCGTAAAGACGAAATTGCAGAGCACGTAAAGTACCTAAAGATAGATAATCTAGTGCGGACGACTCCATCACTTGGAACTTATCGACACGTATGATTTCGGGCCATTCCTGTCATTCACTGTTCTTTGTAGATTCAATCATACGAGGGCTACCATCCACCGCCATGGTACACATCACGCAGAATGATTAACAGTAGCCAGAATGGCATCTCGGAATTCTTTGCTGATGTTTGGGTGTCTATAGCCTTTTACATCAAGATGTCTTATGAACAAAGGTATATACAAAAGAGCCACGGCACCCTCTGTCTATGTCTATCAATGGATGGATGTATGTTATGTATTCTATAAGGGTAAGGGTATGATAATTGTTCTCCCACACTTCCTATACCAGTTTCTATTGTACGTAAGAAAGCAGAAGCTCAGGGAGCCTAAACCCGAGAATCTTTTTTGTCATCTGTTATTCCGCTATGTTTCCTACCTAAATCCTCCCCGTCTTGAGAGGGAGGTCGCCATAGCTATTCTGTCATCAGCCCTCTATGTTGAAAGGATCTTTTTCGAGTTCTTGTACTCCGTCTTCCTCCTCCTGTATTGTAGAGGAGATTTCCGCATCCGCAGCTCTATAAACTATTCAAGGCTGTTGCATCTTTTCCCACTCCCAGCGTCCTTTCAATGGTGAGTCGCTGTGGATATCGAAATTGTACCTGTACACGAGTATTACAATGTACATGAGAATTCGTTATACAACAATCAATCACGTTGTGTCAAACATTCCTCAGTTCTCGCTTATACCGAGATCTGATCTGCTTCCGTCCCTGTCAATCGCGTATTCATTCCGTTCTCATCATTAAACTATACAGCCAGGCCGCAATCCACAGAAGACTGAAACGACTCCCCGAAATGTCAACGAGAAGCGACACAAAACGTGCTTTCTGGTCCTCAGTCAGCTCAGCGAGTAAAATAGATCAATTTCACAATCACGGTTCCAGTAGCTGGAAACCGTCGATAGCACACATAACAACATAATGGAACTAACCTTTCGGCGAAGTCCCTATCCGGGGGTGTACGTCCATGCCTCTCCTGGTTTCTCTTCTCTATCTGAAGTTTCCAGCTTAGAAAGTCTGGCTGAGAGCAAGTAGCTACCGAGTCATTGACTGGCCTGGGTGCGGAAGCGGGACGAGTACGATGATGTTTCGTCCGCATTCCAAGAGATTGCCGATTAACCAGCTCCTGACTTTCTTCAAACGATATAACGGTGGGCTCCGGACTTGCTTCTCGAGAACGTGACATTGGGACAGGATCGATTTGCATCGAACTTGTTGAGTCGTCAGAGATTCCGTCAAGTCGTACATCAATCTGCACAAATGCCATAGTCTGAACCCATCAGAAAACCAATACTACAAGGAAGCGAGGGAAGAGTGGAGACAAAATGGTATCATAAGAATAAAATCTGAAAAACACAGTGCGGAAACACGCGCCGCCTAAAATGACGAGCGATAGTAAAGCTGGAAGCTGTCCACGATTGATCTGAAAAATACAATCCTGGCAAAGACTCGTCGCAAACTGCAGAAACGGCAGGGACACCAACATCAGTATCTCACCAAGGAGCACTGCACGCTGTAAGGCTGTTGGGCCCGGGTCTCGCAGTTGATTGACTCCCAGCGTGAAAAACTGGGCCATGTACTCGCATGCTGGATGCCACCTCGACGAGGTCTGTGCATCAGCTCCCCCGAGCGCTTAGTCTCACGTGGGTCGGCTAATCGATTCGCATCCCACCACACTGGGGAACCTGTGATGGTGGGGCTGCTAACTGCTGGGCGCTTGTTGTTAGCAGATGCCCCCGTTTGTTCGTCGCGAGTTTTCGTTTCAACAACAAGTTCTCCACGGTTCAAGTGCCCTTCTGCGTCAGTAACACGCGAGCTTGTAGAACCCGTCCCAATAGATAATCTCCTCCGAGCTGGCGGTTCAGCTCCTGTGCGAAACTCGTCAGAGGTATTGGTAGACAAATCTCTTGCTGTAACGCTTTCCTCGCTTTTAGTTGGCTTAGTCATCTCTGCAATCAAGATTTGCTTCTCTTCACAGCCTGGTTCTATATCAGTCTTGGCCGTTTCATCCTTTCGCTCCAAGGACTCCACCAAATTAGAAGATCGAACTGTCTCAGAAACAGCAATTTGCAGTTGCAGCTGCGTGTTCGTGCTTCTCCCTTCAAAATTCTGTTCCTGTTCGGATACGACCACGTTCTCGTTGGCCAAGCTCACATCCCGTACATCTTGCGCGACATCCATTCTTGTCCCTGACTGTATGTGCCTACCCATTACTTCGTAGTCCTCGGTAAAACCGGGTGGCCCTGTGTACTCATAACAAATGCTTCTGTCGGTGTCGGTAGCTTTGGCAGCCTTCACCTTAAGACTCTTCGTCCACGTGTTTTACAGTTGGTCTAGTCTGGACACGAGAAATGTTCCGATTAACAATCAGGCAATTGCGCGACCTCCTTGGATGACGTTTCGGTGATAAAAACGGGACAGCAAGGAATGTCTCTCGCACGCTGACTTCGAGGACGTGTATACCCAGCTCGACCTCGGGTAAACCTCAGCAACCCAAAGGCGGCAAACTGTCCGCTTCTCCTGTTCAGGCAGCTGCGTCTGTAGAAAGACTAAACTAGAACTCGAGTGGGAGTGTTGTGTCTGTTCAGACAAGTCTTACCACGAGGAATCTACCTCTCCGCAACAGAATCTGCTGTGGTTGGGGCGAGTGCTGGTACTTGAACAGAAGGCAGAAAGGTATCCCTTTAGTCAATGGAAACACTGGGAAAGAGACATTTTGACTCGGTTGTGATGGAGTGAGGTAAACGAAGAGCGAACTAAGTGTGGTTTCCGTAGATGAGATCTTTCATGGTGGGCGTTGGTGGGTACACGGACAGAAAAAAATGGGTCTCTGCAGCCCAATTTTCAGCTATTTTGATTGAGGCTGCTCCACCGGATAGCCCAGAGACTTGTAAGCTGAGTCACGAGCATATGGACTTGGCAAGACGAGTACATCAAATACCGGAGCAATTGCAGATTGTAACCGACAGAAGAAGTAGGTGGTTTCCGCAGAATGTATCGAAAGAAGAAGGAATTTCACTGAGAGAATTTGGCACCGAGAAGGAGAGGATTCTTGGAGGAGCTTGTGGACCCAGTGATACGTAGGCAAGCTAGAAAGAGTTCACGCAAAGGTCAAGGCCGGAATCAAACCCGTTGCAGCGTCCGGTTGATCTGCTAACCTAAACGAAACACAAGAAGAAGAAGATACAATCAAGTTCAGGGTCTCGAGGCGGAGAGAGAGTGAGAGAGAGAAAAAGAAAAAGAAAAAAAATGGTTTCGCTCCACCAGACAAGGGCGTGGTTGGCTGCACCGAAGCACAATTCGTGCTCTTATGGTAGTGGAGTTGTGAGAGAGACGACAACCCGAGGATGACGATGAGGACGAGATGGAGGCTACTTTGTGTGCTGCAGAAGACAGCCAAATCAGGAAAAATACGAGGATCTGCGAGCACTGGTTGTCTTCTGATGAGGAGGAGGAGGAGGACGGAGACGGCGACGACGAAGTGGAAAGTGTTGCCGAGGACGAGGAAGAAAAACAGCACCGAGACCTTTACCCTCAAACCGGCCCCAATTAACCACACGGGCAGCTGGGACGAGCAGCTGCTGGTTACAGACAGGCAAAGGAGAAAAGGGAGGTAGGCAGGCAGGCAGGCAGGCAGGCAGGCAGGCAAAGGAGCAAGTGCAGCAGCGGCAGCAGCAGCAGCAGGAGCGTGCGTCGAGGGCCGAGGAATCAAATCTGGGACTCGCCACTTCCTCAAATACCTTCCACACTCTCTCGGTCGTCCTACATAAAGAGGCGCGGTGTGCGCGCACGGGGCGTAGAGAACAACAGGACCCGACCCGACCTCAGCAGCAGCCCGCAGCAGCGCCAGCAACAGCACAGCACAGCACCACCAGATTCCTTCTCCGTTCAAACACCCAAAGATACCAATACCGAAATTACTGCCCTGGCCAAAATTATAACAGGCCCTCCCACTGAAGTGACTGAACGCGCCCGAACTGGGAAGGGGCAGCAGCGAGGCGCAGGCATGGGCAGGGCAGAACAGGACAGGCAGTGTGGGCAGGGTGGGCAGGCGGACGAGCCCTGTGTCGGCGTGCGCGCGGTTCGGTTTGACGGAGGGCCAGGGCCAGGGCCGGTGGCAGGGAAAGGTCCGGTCGGGTCGGGTCGTATACAAGTGGGAGGGACGGACGGGTAATCAAGTGGAACTATCTGGAAGATGCGTCCGCCGAGAAGTACGTTACAAATGTTCCCCTCCAGCCTATGGCTCTGGCCCTTCCTCGCCATACGCCTGCTAAGACAAGTCGCTCAGGGTACCTCCCGCTGCACTGGAGCTAACGGCTGGATGGCTGCCCTCCCCGCAAGTCGGATCGGAGGTTAATTAAGCACGAGCAGCCTGCGTATTATGGCTCCCATTAGCTGTAAACCCGGCTGCGGCCGTTGGGTCCCCTCTACCCTTGCTACAAGTACTCCCAGAATAAATGTCCCCTTCCCGGTTCGTCTCCGCGGTGTGAACGTTTCCGGTCCTGCTTACCTTCCGGATAACGATGGGCCTGTCCTACTCCCCCGTATAGTCGCAACGATCATTTCTAAATCCAAGCCTGGAACCTGGAGTTTGAATGCGGCACGATTAGGAACGTAGTTAATCTGTCCCCTGCAAGTTTCCAGACAGCTAAATCACAGTTGCGTCTGTCTGAGTGTCATCCTTCGAACGCCTTCGTTCGCGGTCAGGGCAGCGCGTGCAGAGGAGCGGGAGGCGACAGGAGGTGAAGTGCTCAGGAGACGAGGGGTAGGGTTCATGTCGGGGGGTGAGTGGGGGAGAGGAGGCGCGGGGATAAGCACGAAGGACTGAACTGACTGCTTTAGATCCAAGGATGGCAGGGCAGGGGAGGCGAGGCGAGGCGAGTGAGTAGTAGTAGTAGCAGGAGCAGGAGCGCAGACATCTAGAAAGTGGCGAGGTTTGCCGGCCGTCATTCGTCGGACTTCATCCCACGATATCCGCCTCGACGCACGCAGGAGGGGGACGGGGCGGGGGGAGCCCAAGCCATGATGCTCCTGGCATTTTATTTATTGAATCTGGGAAGGGACGAGCAGCCGAGCGTTATTCCACGAAGAAGGGGGGGGGAGTTCGATGACAACTCGGAAGAAACAACTGATGTGGGGTGATACAAGGCCGAAGCTCGGCCATGGCATGACCTCACCTAATCCAATTTCGAGAAGGGCCCCATCAAAGGTGGGGTGGGGTGATTACTGATTCGTCGTCGCCCATTTGCTTACCGTTGGGAGCAACTTTCGTCCTCCTCTTTTCTAGTTTGCACGTATCATCATCACATCCTCCTCCCTTCGCATGTAATTTATTCGTTTGGTCAGGCCCGAGCCAAAACCCCCCTTCACGCTTCCTCTCGCCCTGATTGGACTGGACTCGATTCGATTTTCGACCACTACAACGACCCGATTCACAAATCTACATGCAAACTGCCTTCAATCACGGACCTGTTGGTTTGCAAGGAATGATCGCTAGCATGAAGAGGGAGAGACATGTCCGAGGCACGCAACGAGGAGGTGGTGACTCGGGTGAGGAGACTCCCCGCCTGCCCACATTCTTTGTTTCTCGATTCCTTCGCCGGCCTTGTACAGTACCGAGTTTCCCACATGCCGGGAGGAAAGGATCCCATCCCCGACGATCCCCAGGCCGTCGACTCTCCGCCGTCCACCGTCCGCTCTACATTTTCTTTCGCGTGCAATTCTTCCTTGGGCCTCGGACGATCGCTCCCTCCAAATCGAACTCCGCCTTGCACGAGTCTAGCCCCCGCCTGACAACACTCTCTGCCTCATCTGCCTTTTCCTCCTCCTCCTCCTCCTCGTTCCCTTGGTTTCTCGAACTGACTCGGTACGACGCAGAGGAGCCCGCGCCTTACGCGATCCCTCTCTACGTTAGCTCCCTCCCTTGTGGTGGAGCGTGTACGATTGTCTTCGGCAAAAGTCTCCCCGCCTCATGCTCGGCTTCTTCCGCGCTCGTTTCAACGGCATGTTGGATTGACCTCTAGGCGAGTGTGACTCTCGGCCCCGAATCGGCGCCACCAATGGGAGGCGCTCCGTCCACGACCTCGCCGGAGGCCGAACGGGCCGGCGGACCGGCTGAGATTCTCGCACTCTACCCAAATTTACTTCCGGTCGATAACGCAGCCCGGCACGATTAAACCGACCGTTCGTCGAAGGCGCTCCGATCACGGTTCGCCACGTCAGACCCCGCGACGGAACGGATTAGCGTCGTCGATCGATATTTCGAAAATTCAAAAGTTTCCTTCCTTGGATGCTTTCGTGTCAGAGACAATCAGTTTCCGTCGATTGAATTTCGAAACCCAGTTGTACCACGGATGGGTTACAGTTAACGGGCATGAAAGTTGTACATACTCCATCGTATGTACATGGGTGACAAGGACTTACTCTCTTCTTGAAGGCAAAGTAATCCGTCCATCAATCCCTTGGGTTTCTGTTCCTGCTGTTCCGAGGTGGGTTGTGTCAGGCAGATATGTTGGATCTCGCCGATACACCCGGGCTGTCAATAGGTCGTGCGGAGCAAATGAACACCCAGAGTACGAACCCTCTACATCACCCGATATGCCCTCACAATGGCCCGTAACGTTTGGCTAAAGTGCACCACTTGGCCGACGAGATTCTGCTCTGTGTTGTGACATGATCGGACTTTCTCTCACCTCTTTAAGGCCCCGCTTCGCTCCCTGTGCAAGAAATGCTGGCCTGAATCATTTCACTTCAGAAACTCTTGTTCTTCCAAACTCGCATCGGTGAGGTATTGCTGTACCCCAACACTAGGAATACCCGACAAGTGCAAGTCGGCGATTGAAACGTGCCGAACCTCTTGGTTTGGATCTCTTTGCCATTTATAGTTGGTGTGGGGGGTTATTTTTATCGTTGCGTTGCTGAGTCCACAGGGCGATCCAGGCACCAGGACCACATTAAACTTGGGGCTAAATGACGTGCATAATCTCTCCTGCACTTTAGAGTGCAGAAGAGGGACTCTGCCATAATTAATGACGTTAGTAAGTTCAGATTCCAGTTTGGCTTATCGTGCCCTCAAACAATCTCCCTGCTTCGATCCACACACATAAATCCTTTTGATGTCGAGCTCAGCAAGTATGCCACAAATCGTGCCCCTTATTGAAATGTTGTGAAATTTAATGTCAGCTTATTGAGTTCTATATCTCGAAAGATCCTCAGCCTAATAGTCCCGCCGCTCCCGGTGAATCCCACGATTGTGAGCCCTGCTGGATTCCTGCTCTCACTGTTCCCAGGAAAAGGTCTCTTCTTGTGATGCGTTTTCGGTCATTCAATCGTACGTGGGGCAGTAGGAAAACATGATAATCACTATTCAACGTACGTGGTGCACTAAAAATACATGATAATAAAGAATATCTGAAATCATGATCAACACACCATTTTGGGGACGTGTATGGTATTATGACATTCCATTCTCTGTGTCCATTATAAACTGCCAACATTATCCATGGCTTCCAACACCGACTTCTAATCTACTGTAGAAGAAAGGCTTTCCCTACGGATTGTTTAATCTTGTCCAATCACTTATCTCCTTGTTCAGTGGAATCAGAAGTTGTAGAGTACTTTTATGATGTTGATGGAACTTTTATCCGGAAGATGTTTTTTTCGCCCTTTATGACGATGCATTCGTCACAAATCAACATTCTCCGGAAAAGTAGCTGAAATGTCTTCAAGCTTGTCGCCCGACACCTGATGAAGGAACACACTAAACAGCAAGTTGAAATTGAACATGAGTTACGTGGTTTCAGGAGGTCATGCGAAGAATATTATACATTGCCAAAAGTAAACAGGAATCGTCAATCAAGTAGAGCTTACCGATGCTTACCGTCTTCACATAAGCAAGACATGTGTGTTCTAATGTGATGGTTAAAAGAATTCACCTTGGCTTTTAACTTTCAGCAGAATCTGCTGAAAGTTCGTTTAAAAGTAGGTTTCAATCCTGGCTGCAAGTATACTTCGATATTTTCAGTAGAAGCGAATCACATTTCTTTTCGTAACCCATCATGCAATTAAAGAGAGTGGAAAAAATAGAGGAAATGACCAACAATCCTAATGAACCTACACTAGTGGACAAGATGTGTTTATGTGCAAATTCAAGACATACTTCTTGTAGTGTTGTATCAACTAACTGACTAACTAACTATATATGTATATAGCCAAGCACCTTATTGCAAAGCCTACTAATGTGTCCATATGAATACCAAGGCATATATTAAGTCCATACAGATTTGAACATATGATTAACATTACATTATATTCATCTTCAAACTTTAAAAATAAATTCATCTAATAATGAAAAAAATATTTAAAAATATAATTAACAAATTTTTAGCAAATTTATTCAAACGTTAAAAATTTTATTAATAGTCTGATGATATGTTCAAAATAATAAAACACAAACTTTGATCAAATCTTAAATAATACACTCGTGATAGAGTTTTCTCCAAGTTTATCCTTACTTATGATACATATATAAAGAATCCTCAAAGATTTCAATATTATATTTCAGAAAATAACCTCTAAAAAAATAAAAATAAAAGAAAGAAGACAAAAATGTAATTGACCAATGTGAGAAATCTTTAGATTTATATGCTAATCTCACTAGTTTTCAGAACCTGGGTAACCTTTTTATCAAACATAATATAAATGTAAAATAAATGTCATGAATATATATGTTTCAATTATATACAAAAAAAATTCCTGTATAAATTGATATCTATGCTTATATCTATAAAAATTTGATATAAGTATGATTTACATTTCAAATTAACTAGTTGACAAATTTACTTGTTAAACACAACAGTAGTTTTCCCATATCAAAATTTTTAATCTTTTTTGAAACAAAAAATTGCCAGAAATTGATACTGTATATTAAATATAAATAGAAATATTTTTTTAAAATTTAAATTTGACTTTCAATATTGAATTTTTTATATTTTAATTTTTTTCTAACTTTTATGTTTGTGATTTACGTAAAAAATAAAGCAATAACTTCAAGATTGATCAATTATTATAATTATTGTATAATAAATTATTTTATATATATAATTGGAATAAAAAATAATGAACTTATCAATCAACTTACATGAACATGAAGTAATTGGGGTGCTATATAATAATAATCCCTTTTCAGTACTTCATAATAAAAGATTATAGAAACATGATTATTGTGTCACTAAACATATTATTCAACAAAAATTTTAGTTTAAATGATCAAAATTAATTATTAGCAATATCTAAAGCTGATTGTAATTTTTCTACTAATAAGTTTTTTTAAATAACACTAATACATTTGACTTCAAATTCTTAATTTTCAAAAAGCGTGCTATTATAATTCACAGTTTTAGAAATATATCCATAATATATCTATGTATATACTTTTGATAACATATGATGAATTTTTTTAAACAAAATGTAGACAATCTGTAATTTTTGCTATAATTGTATACATTTTAAGTATCATGTATGAATAAAAGATAGTATTTATAATTTCATGCATGCAGGTTGATGTAAAATTTACATATAATATTTTCAATAAAATTTAATTGTATCATCATTGAAGATTCAAAACTATTAATAAGATGTTTCGGTTTAACATATTTATTGAATATAATTTGATTCAGCTTGCATCTTGCGATATTAAAAGCATGTGTTTGATTTTTGCAACTGTATTAATATTTAATTTTATTTAATTTTATTCGATTCAATCTTAATTATTATTAATAAGAAATAAAGAATTTGTTTCAATACTTCATTATAAAATCGAATAATGATTTATATGATATATGGATTTTTAGAAGCATTAAAAAATATTTTAATGAAATAGTATATCATAATACACATGAGCGTATTTTCATATACATTTTCATATAATTTACAACATCCAAACTTTTGATTCTTATGTTTAGTTGTGATGTTAAAATTGCAAAAAAAAACTGATGAATTTTTCAAAGATTATAAATCTGTTAATACATTTTCATGTAATATCAATTTATTAGAATATATTAAAACAGCGAAATATTAAAAAATATTTACAGAAAGTTTTGAATATTTTATAAAATATAATAAAAATTAAAAATTAAAAATTATAATTAAATTATGAATAAATTAAATATTTCAATATTAAAAAATATTTACAGAAAGTTTTGAATATTTTATAAAATATAATAAAAATAAATAATTTTATTAAAGACAAAATTAAAAATGATTTTAATAGTGATAATAATAAAAAATAATATTTAACACGTGAAATATGACAAAATGATGATAATAAAAGATTTTGTTACACATGATATTCAAATGGCATTTTTAATATATTTTTTGGATCAAATTTTGATTTTCAATTCATAGGATATTCCTAAACATTGTAATTAAATATGAGGTTTCTATATTACATTTATTTCAATTGAATAATTGAAATTGAAAAATCTCATGATGTAATTGAAATTGAAGATTCTCTTGGATTTTTTTCTATTTCAAGTTTGACTAATAAAACCACAAATATTCATAATCTCATCTAATCTAAAAGAAAATAGCAGTATGTCACATTCGAATTTTTCAACTTTTGTATTGAGCTTATTTTTTCTATTCAGAAATAAAAAACTGATTAAAAAATTCGTACTCTTTCATTTGATCAAGAAGAGGTTGATATACAAACTTTATATCAAGTGAACCGGTTTTATCCTCCATTGAATTTATTTCTTGCTGTATATAAAAACTAAGGTCTTGCTTTTTGAGGAAAAGCATTCGATGTAGCTAGAAGCAATACCAGAAACTATCAACTTTATCATCATGATGATTAGGAGACTGCTAACTTCTTTGGTGCTTTTACTACATTTTGGGAATCAAATTTTGCAAACAGTGGGTGAATAATTGATCACATGTGCACACGTCTTTCTAGAGAAAAGAAGACGTGCTCTTCCATGCGTGCAATCATCATCTGCGTAATTTTTGGTGTTTGTTTTCTCACACCAACAAACTGTTCACGGGGTAGGTATGTGTCTTCCTCTCTATTCTCCCTTTCCATTAAGATCGGAAGGTAAAGATTTGGTTGGGTTCGCACTTCGGATGGAATCTCCGAACATTTTTCTTCATGATTTGCATTGAGAAGAAGGCAGAGTTCTGCCATGCCTGGTTTTGCTTTTCATTTCCAGCTTCATTCTTCTATTTTGCAGTTTCTCCCTCCTCATCTTGTCCTCTTGTACCGTTCTCTAACCATGTCCATGTTGTCCTTCCCCAATTCTGGTCGCTGTTTTAAATGTTGGTGCAGTACTTCTGGTGTCAAACCTGATTCCTGCAGTTTTGCTTCTGAGCTTCTCACCTCCAGCTTGTTGCGCTCTGCTATAATGTAGACTACAACTGAACGGGGCCAAGTGATAGAAGAAAAATGAGAGAGGGGGCAACATGGAAATAAATAAAGAACGGAAAATCCCATCAAGTCGTACATGGATGGCACATGGGGCTAGGCTCCAA